GGTAGTTTTTCGATATCCTTTCGTATAAGGCCTATAGGTGTTGAATCAAATCTTGGATTGCTTGTGTCCCACGCACTCCCATATGCCTCTGAGTGACCTTACGTCCAAAACAGATCCGATTCATCTTGCCTGCGCCGTTACAGCAGGTAGTGTCACTTAGAGGCATATGGGAATGCGTGGGACAGCATAAGATCCTTGATTCAAGTAGACACCTATAGGCCTTGCACGAAAGGATATTAGAAATCTGCCTAACAACTACAGTCTTCCTGTCTACATTTATACTTCCTGGAAGTGAGGGATACTCTAGTACGAGTCCGGACTAGATCCGGTGCTTGTCCGGTAGTGTTCCAAACTGCACCCGATCTTTGGTATTGGTCGCTGATCCGGCTCGGTTCTTGTACGTAGTAAGTCCCTGCATCTGGCCTTGGTGAAGGGCTGTTTCGTTACACCATCAACATTGCGCGCTACGCCGCACTAAGAGCTAGGATTAGCTCTATAGTATAGCTAAAGGTTTCCTTAGTATATATAACTTTATTACTTAGTATAGGAGTGCAATAGAGCGAGATAGAGGCTATCTATAGTAGTATTATAGCTAAGCTCTAAAAAAGACATCTTTTACATATTAGCGCGGATTTAATAGTAATAGCGTATTTTTTATAAGAAAAGGTGTCTACACCTATAGAAGAAGGTAAAAAACATAGCTAATCTATAAAGAGAGTTTAAAAATAGCGCTTTAAGAGAGATATTGTATCCTAACGATAAAGTACCCCTCTTTTCTTGCGGCACGGGGGGATTTGCGTGACGCAGGGAGGGACGTTAATAGTGTGTTTCCATATTCACTAGCACTCGTGTCTAGACTTCCTGGTCTTTGCACATGGAAATAGCCCCAAGGCTGGGCATTGTCGGCCTATGATGCATGCCAACGACATTGTCTGCCCACAACGCATCTGCTCACGAACTACAAAATTGTACAAGATCCAGTTAAAAATTTTCCTCGACACAGCTGCGCCGTTGTTTTTCTTTTAGTGAAACAACTCGCTGATCTTTTACGTGCATATACTGCTTCCCGAGATCACTAGTATCGTTGCCTGCCGATCACCAAAGATTATTTTAGATATTCGCTGCACGACATGGACCGTTCCGACATGGCACCCATGTCCAATTGCTCGACATCTCAGCATCACGCCTCAGTCAAGCGCGGCGTTTACGCGTCTGAGACTGATGTATATTTTACCATGCACAGGGGTACTCTAATCACCGTTGTAGTAATTACAGGTGTGGCAGTCATTGCCCTCCTCGTCTTTGTCGTTGTCCACGAGCGGCAAAGCAGGCAGCGTGTAATTCAGCGCACCAAGGACATCGAGGCCAATACTGCTGCTTTTGCTAAGGTTATCAACGAACCCTCTAGCAAGCCGACGACGCCGCCTAGCGAACCCAGCTCGCCGTACATGGGTGACAAGTTCCCTGATGGCAGAATAGGCAACTACCAAAAGGCTCGTGTGTCATCTGAGAAGTGTTTTTGTGACGGCAAATGTGGGCAGCATAGCGAATATCAGTTTTACGAGGTTGACCTAGGCGAGGTGAGGTTACTGGGTGAAGATAAGATGGGTAAGTTGTGAGGTGTCTGGTACTGTACCTTGCTTCAGGATACTGGGAATCTCATGTTGAGTATTTGTACCGGTAATCTGGAAGAATAACAAGATAGTCGATCTAGTCTTTATCATCCAAAAGGTATGTAATACAAAAAAGGTTGTTGAATAATCGGTTTCAAGTGTTGTTGTATTTCATCCCGATGCCCTAAAATTGTCTTCAATAAGAATCCTCATTATCTAATTCCACAGAAATTGTAGCGCCGTGTATGTTGGCCGGCGCTTAGGGAAAATTGTTGACAGTTGGGCTTTCACCATCAGTATGTTGATAGTGGTTACACCAACCTTAGCGCCAATGCGCCGCAGTGCAGCAACCCCGCAACTCACAACACCAGGCTGACCCAGCTTTCTTCACACCATTCTTTCATTCTTCATTACCTAGACTTCTGCTTAGAATGAGGGTTCCGACAATCTTGTTCGCATTATTGGCGATCGCTAGGGCTGAGGATGTGCTACAAGGTGATGATTCCCCCCCAGTCCTCGGTTGATCCTGGCGCTAAGTCAGGCTGTAGACATACTTTTCCATCCTACTGAGCTTTTGTCGGACGAAGAACCACCATCAGTGACACCACTGGACGCTCAGCATGACTGGGTCTATCCCGAGACTTTGCCACCCATGCCTCAGTGCATCGCCGAGCAGGACCAGGCAGCATGGCTAGGTGCCATGACAAAATGTACAAAGAAGCAATGCATGCGACACTTTGGAGTGATCTGTACCCGCCACCAATGGCGCACTCAGCTCAGCTGTCTCAACACGGAGCTTTCCCCTCAACTTCTTAAACAGTACATTGGTTACTGCAGCCGTTCGGTTCTGAAAAGGGCACAGCTGTACCAGTGGATCCGCACAACGACGGGCCGTACATGGCTCACCGAGGTCGGCGATGCTAACGGGCTACAGAGGCTTTCTCCAGGCTCGCTAATTAAAGGATATGCACCTGTCCGTATCAAAGACAAAGCGCCGGCATGTCTGACTGAGTCGGTATCTGCCTCATCAATGGAGCCATTTGGACAAGTCATGGCATCTTGCGGTTTCGGGGCCTACACTAGACATATGGGGAATGCTAAACGTCCATGGGAGTATCATGAAGGTGAGCATTCAATGGTCGCCCTGGATATTGAGGTTGCCGGGTACGACCTGACGCATGCCACTATCCCGGACAATTATTACTTTGACAAGCAGTGCTTCTGCAAGACATTTGATGCAAGTCTTGCAGCACATTATTGTGCAGGGCCTGGGATAGATTCGACGAGGCAACGATTATGGATGCATGCTACTTGCGGGCCTGCTTCACTTCCTCCTGACTGGAGGGAAGGACTCAAAACCACTCCTCGCGACTACATTCCTACGGAAAGATGGAAATGGCCTCAGTGCTTCAATTCGATGCCGGATAGCGTGATGCGGCTCAAGAATCAATGCACGACTAGTGCTTGCAGAGTTGGCTTCGACGGATACTGCTATGTCCAAAGTGCAGTAGAGAGATCGTGTTTCTGCCGCAACATCAGCTACGACACATGTAAAGGATCCTGTCACGTCTTCGACAACCGAATCGATTACGTACGCTGGCTCCACGATTTATGCGGCGCCGAGGAAGATTGGCATGGTTTTCCAGAAGACTGGCATCGACTAGCCAGCGTCAGTCGTCGCGATGCCATTCCATGGGCATGGTACACGGAATCATTTGGTCTTTCAAATCTCAGTACGGGAGAAACCAACCCCTCAACCTCCAAACAAACATGTGCATCGAGCGAGTGGAAACAAATGAGCCTCCTCCTTGTCAACCTCGCCGCCCTCTTCACCGCCGTCTTCGGCCCAAAATCAGCTTCCGACCCAACCACAAACCCCTTGAACAGCATCCTATGGTTCCCACGCGGCATCGCCGTAGCAGCCTTCTACCTCCTCGCCAACGCCATCAACGCCATGCTCATCCAATCAACCCCTACTTACGAGGAAACCCCCATGACGGAGCTCGCCCTCCTCTGGTGTACCATACCACGCCTAACCTGGCTCACCATCATCCTCGTCCTCGCCTCGCCCTACAAACGCTCTACTTTCTCCGCTGTAGCCACAGCTATCGTCTCCGAGGCGCTCCTACAAGCTCTCTCCTCTCCCACCATAATCTCCACCGTATCCTACGGCATCAAGCACGGCTTCTACAACCCAAATACACCCGTACTACACAACCTGCCAGCAGCAACGTACATGTATGCCGGCGCTCTCATGTGGGTCGTCGTCATGCTCCTGTCTATAGTATCTTTCTTAATCATCCTCCTCGATGCAAGTGCACCACAAGACAGCCCATCTGTGTACTCTAGTTACACCCAAAACGCTCATCTCGCAGCTCAGCTCAGAGAACCGTTTCTAGAGCGCTGGACATGGATCGAGGAGAAAATTGCAGAGTATTGGATCGATAGGGATTGGGATTTCGAACACACGCCCCTGATGCAGAATCAGGGTTACGTGCATGCTGTGTATGGGACGCTGCCGACCAAGACTCCACGAGGGCGCGGCATGAAGAGGAGTATAGTAAGGGTCACGCTGCTGGCTATTGTGAGTACGTTTTCGCTGTGGATTGCGCAGTGGCTGTTTTGGATTGGTTTTGTGGGCATTTCGGCGGAAGAGTAAGTCAGCCTTTTTTTTCTTCTTCTCTCTCTTCTTTACGGGCCAATAAAGTATGAGATTGGGATCCTTCCTCTAGATTTACTGACGATATGCAGGTTTTGTACGCCACAGCTGGAGCTATCAACGTTGACGTGGATTGCTTCTTCCGTGGCTGCGGTCATTGGTGTTATAAAGGCATAGAATGTGGTTTTTTTTTCAGGGTTTGGACAATCATTTATCATGGAGATATCGGAAAATCGCCTTCAAAGCATCATGTGTCATATAATAAATTTGTGCCGAAGTTAGTGCTATTCAATTCTAAGACAATCAAACGAAAAAAAGACAGTTAATAGTAAATCACCCCACCGGTTATGCGTCCTCAGGTCCCATATCAAACAGCAAAAACTCCGCATCCTTATCCCCCACACTCTCAATCTCAATCTTGCCCGGCCCCTTTGCCCCATCAATATACGCGCCATCCCCCTCTCCCAAGATGGTCTCCCCAATCTTAATCTGCGCACCCCCAGTCTGCGGCTGCGCGCGTCCACCCATGACAACATGCGCAAACAGCTTCCTCGGGCCCTCGGCCACAATCTCATGCACCACCTTCTTCCCGGGCGTCAAAATGGACGCATCCATGCTCAGATCCGCCTGCAGTCCAATCGCACCCGCGCTCTTTGGCAATCTATCCGTATACTCCATAATCCTCACAAGCTTGTCCTTCTTCTCCTCATCGCTAAACTTCTTGGTTTCGTAATGCGGCTTGAGGCCCCTCTTGTTGGGCTTGGCCCAGATCTGCAAAAAGTGGACTTCAGAGTCGCGGTTGCGGTTGTACTCGGAGTGCCGGATGCCTGTTCCCGCGCTGGTGAATTGGACTTCGCCGCGCTGCAGGTTCTCGAGGTTGCCCATGCTGTCTTTGTGCTCGAGGGTACCGGAGACGATGTAGCTGAAGATAAGGAATTCGGCGTGGCTGTGTGTTCCTTTTGTTTTTTTTTGTGTTAGCAACTTCGCCATATACATGGATGTATGGTTTTTAAAGAGTGATAAGGATGCTTACCGAAACCAGTTCCAGCTTCGACTCTGTCTTCGTTGATGACACGGAGAGGACCCCAGCTCTCGTGTCGCGGGTCGTAATAGGAAGCAAAAGAAAACGTGTGGTACGTGTAGAGCCAGCCGTGGTCGGCGTGGCCGCGTTGCGACCAGGGTCGCTTTGTGATCTTCAGGGAAGCAGGTGTTACGGTTGACATTGTGCGGAAAGTAGGTTTTGAAAGGAGAGAAGAAAAAGAGGTGCGGAAGGCGGTTGAGAGAGCCAGGGTGAGTGCTAGTAAGCCTACGAGGACTGTGATTGCTTTTGTGGTGGTTGAGTACGAGGTATCAGGTGTAGATGAAGCACGTTGCTGGCTTGATGCTTTTGATGTTGTGTCTGTCATCACGAAAAGGAGATTTCAGCTCATGCGACGACTCTGCGTGTTTTTATATTCTCGGCCTCCCAGCCGAGATTTTAGTTGCTGCATCATGGCGATGCTGCGCTTTCTTCTGTTTGTTACATGGGCATTTCCAATTAGTGACTAAGATCCAGTAAGGTGGACTAGCGGAGAACCGCATGTGGGGACGGAAAAGAACCGCTTGGCTGATTAGTGATGGATGACGAGACGGCCGCCACTTATTGATCAGCGACACGTCATTGGCTGCTTGCCGAAGAGCGCAGAACGCCCAGTGTCTGACGCTAATAGAGGGTGACGAGTTTTTGTGTATTATCTACAACCGAATTGAGTAGTCCAAAGAGTTTGAGGAAGAGCTTGGAGCATAGGGTGTATACTTTTACAGGTTATTCGGTGGGGTGAAGAACGCAGACATCGTCTAGTCACGTGCTATCGATAGCACCATCATGGCACTGAAGAACTTCAACCCCGATACATTCCTGGATGAATGGTCAGAAGAAAAGTACTCGCCATTACACACCGATAAGTCTTTAGCAAGATGTTTAGGAGAGGCCTTCGACATTCCGCCTACAGATGCCTATGTTTATCGGGCGCAAGCAGAGACTACGCTGCACGTCACGCAGCGAGCCATTGACGCAAAGAGACAACACGGATTACACGGATGGTACACAGACGATGAAGGTCAGCCTGTATGTGTCTTCTCTCAACCAAGCACCCAAATACCTTCCACCCAGATACTTCCCAAACCCATCCTATTCCATCCCCGTACCAACACACTCTAGATCTATCCCACCCCGGACGAAATAACCGCCTACACATCCCTCTTCACCCCCAGCACCTCCCTCCCCAAATCCCTCTCCAGTTTCCTCAAAAGCTCAAAAGCCCATTCCCTCCGCCAAAAAATCGCCACCCACCTAACCTCGCGCTACCTCAACACCACACCCCCCAATTCCAGCCTCCTCCCCAGCAAAAAAGACCGAGAGCACAAAAACCCCTATCTGGACCTCTGGAACTACTCTTGCAACGAACTCGAATGGGCAGGCCCCGTTCCAGCAACAGCAGGCACGAAAATAAGCCATCACATCCTGCCCCTCTTCTACCACCACTTCGGCTGCGTCGTCCCCTCATATGCGGCTTTGCACGTATTAGCCAAACTAGCGCAGCCCGCACGCCCAAGCAAAGAAGACGTACGCCCGATTCTCGACATAGGATCAGGAAATGGGTACTGGACGTATATGCTTCGGCATTTCCCCGTGGCGCATATCGGGGCGACCAAGGCGTTGGATGTGCGGGCTGTAGATAGCCAGGTGAGCGAGTACAGGGTCATGTGGATCAAAGATACGATCAAGATGGAGGGGAAGCAGTATTTGATGAGGAATGGTGGGGGCAAAGGGTGCGTGATGTTACTTGTGTATCCGCAGGCGACGGGAAATTTTACGGGCCCAATGATGAAGTCGTTTGAGGGGGATACGATTGTCGTTGCTGGGACACAGAATGGGAATGGGTTCACAGGGTTTAGAGATGTGGTTGTGGATGAGTGGGTGGAGAGAAATCTGAGTCAGTTTGAGCTTGTGCTGAGGATGCCACTGCCGAGTTTTGCTGGCAAGGACGAGGCGCTGTTTGTGTTTCAGAGGAAGAAGTCGGAGTGAAGGGGATGAGAAAAACATCACAGCATGCAGACGATATGAGCTGGGTCATGTTGCTATGATAATCATGCAATATAGCACGTAAATGGCGCTAGCCAATCTTCATCTGAATCGTTCACATTTTGTCGTGTTCACATACATGTGGGAGTTATGCGCCTACCACTTGGCCTCCTTCCTAGAGAGGAACTCGTTCAGGACGGCGACATCTTTCTCCAGCGCAGCCAGCCACTTTTCCAGCTCCGCTTGGACCTTGGCCTCGTCGTCTCCCAGCTTCTTGTAAAAGTCGGCGCGGTATGGGGTAGCGCTCATGGCGGCGCTGAAGATGGGCTTGACGACGAACGAGTGGTGGGGCTTGAGAGTGTTGCCGTAGGCGTCACGGAAGGATTGGGCAAGCTCCACGGATGAGTTGGTGATGTTGTGACGGAGAGCTTGGGCAGTAAAGTCCAGGCCACTGGAAAAGCCGTTAGCACAGCGTCTTTGGAGCTGGTAGAGAGTGCATACCGGTTCAGCCATACAAGGCCTTCAGTAGCAGTGTGCTTCTTCTCCTTGAGCTCGTTGAGGACAAGGTCCTGAAGGGTCTCGGAAAGTGCTGGTGCAGCGAGCTGCCTGTCTTGGATTTTCTGTCTTGTGTTGGTACGTGTACAGGTGTTGAGTTGGGTTATTTGGTGCACACCTTGATGTTGCCGGCCATGTCATTCTTGACGGGCTTGAAAGCTACTCCGCCCAAGACATCGAAAAGGGTAGTCAAGCTCTCGGCGGCCTGGAGGAAGTCGGTCGTCTTGATGGCTTTGTCATTGGACTCGTCAATGGTGACATCAACGAAGCTCTTGTTGAGCGTGTCGAAGAAGGTTCCGCCTGGGGGAATTGCAACTGCCATTGTGGAATATGTATGTGTGTAATGCAGGAAAGGATGAGGAAAAAGCAATGGCAAGCTGGGCAGCAGAGGAGCAGAAGGAGCTTTTGATTGTCGGCCAGGTGGTCTGGCTAAAGCGGTGAGCAGGGATGACGAGCTAGCGCGGGGAAACGCGCAACAACACACAGGGTCTCGACGAGGGGAAGTCATTCCGCGCCCGCTAACAGTTGGACTACCGCAGTGGTTGCATAAACCAGCAACCACCCAGGCAGCTAGCACAGTTCGGGACAGGAGAGGCAACAGCTGAGCTCCTTTTCCATCACCTGCATTCCTCAAGTCCAAAGAATGTCTGCCTGGAGAACAAGAGAAATCATTGTTGAGATGTATAAATAAAATGTACTAGCCCGCCTCATGGCCTGGTCGTGATACGAGTCTAGCATCATCTGTCCCTCTCCCGCTCATGCCGGGCTGGACGTCCAATAACATCAACCATGGCCTCGCACGTCCATGCCACAGCCGTTATATACCGCATCGCCTGCATTCCTGGGGACGGCGTCGGCCCCGAGGTCGTAGAAGCCGGTGTCCGTGTGCTGAACACACTATCCTCTACCCTTGGAACCTTTGGACTCCACTTTACTACTTTTGACTGGGGCGCCACATGTCTGTTCAGCGAGGGCGAATGTATGCCCTCGAACGGACCCGACGAGCTTAAGGATTACGACGCCATCTACTTTGGCATTGTGGGTCAGCACGGCGTCCCAGATGAGTTCTTGCTGACTTCTTTGATCCTGCCCATACGCAAGTCGCTAGATCATCATGTCAACGTGCGACCTAAGCGCATTCTCCCGGGCACGACCTCTCCATTGATAGGTTGCATACCTACCAACCTCGACTGGATCATCATCCGTGAGAATAGCGAAGGCGACTATTCGGCCCAGGGTGGTGTCCTTCATGAAGATGGTCCACACGCAGTAGCTACCGAAGTGAGTATCTTCACCAAGGTCGGTACCGAGCGGGTCATGAGATATGCATTTGAGATAGCCAGGTCGCGACCACGGAAGAAATTGACCATGGTGACCAAGATGAATGTCCACAATCATGGCATGGCGCTCTGGGACAAAGTTTTTGACGAGGTTGCAAAAGAGTATGAGGACGTGCAGAGTGACATCATGCTTGTCGAAGCAATGCCGACCCGCATGACTCTGTATCCCTCGGCCTTCGACACAATCGTCGCTACCAATTTGCATGCAAATATCCTGTCAAATCTTGCAGCGGCGCTCAGCGGATCAACTGGCATAACTCCTTCATGTCATCTTGACCCTTCACGTAAGAATCCAAGCTTATTTGCGCCGACTCATGGTTGTGCACCTGGCAATGCTGGAAGAGGCATCGCCAACCCCATTGGAGCGATTTGGAGTGCTGCCGAGATGGTGCGATGGATTGACGAGGACAAGGCAGCCGATGTACTGATCAAGGCTATCGAAAACGTCACTGGACGTGGTATAAAGACCACGGACCTTGGTGGGAATGAGACCACCGAAGGTGTGACTGATGCTATGTGCGCCGAAGTCGAGAGGCTCCTGAAAGCATGAGTAGCATGAAGGAAGTAATCCATAATACACACCTAGAACCATATACCCCGTATCTCCAAATCCACAACTCCTCCTGCCACTCACTCCAAGAACACAGCAGGAATCTCACTTCGTCCCTCTACAACCCGACTTCTCATCCCCCTTTCCCCCCTCTTCCTCTCATCCCCCACATCCAACAGCCCAAACCAGTCTCTCCAAACCTTAACCGCCTTTCCCTGAATCAGCCCTTTGCTAATCGGCCCAAAGTCATTACTATCAAGACTCTTCCGCCAATTATCACCTTCAATCCACACATGCCCATACGGCACCACCACCTTCCCAAGCTCCCGCTGCTGCTCCTCAGGAACAACAGAGTCCGGGTCATAATCCGCAAGCCCATCCGGCGAGCCTTGCACCCTAGCCGCATGCGCCGCAGAATCGAGGGCGTAGCCGCGAATGGGATATACGGTGTCGCCTTCGATCGCTACTATGCGTTTGATACCCATCTCGGAGGGCTTGTGCGGTTTCCAGAATGTCACTACGTCGCCGCGCTTCACGCCCCATTCGTTGTTGTCGTTTTGCTCGCTCTTCGCTCCGCGTCTGGAGCGCTCGAGGTATGGGCGCACGAGGACGTAGTCTTCCCGGCCTGTCTCGTGTGCATTGGGACTGAGAGTGGGGGACATGGAGGAGCCGCGGACGTGTTGGAACTCGATGTAGTGATCGCGTAGGAAGAGCATTGCGCATATCGCTACGAGGCCGTTGGTGCCCCATTTTACGTAGCGGCTGCTTGAGCCCGAGCGACTCTGCTCAGGCCATTTTGACGAGGGCGGGGGCGGAGGCGGGGTGGAAGCATTGCTCGGTGTCGCAGGTGTGGTGGACTTTGGATGCGGCGGGGCTCGGGCGGCAGGTTTCGGGGCCAGGCCTGGCAGAGAAGTCTTTACCTGCGCTTTTGGTGCAGCGCGAGGTTTGGGAGGGAGGCGCAAGGGAGGTTTGGGAGGGAGGCGCAAGGGAGGTTTGGGAGGCATTGGGGAGTGGTGGTTACTTAAAGGTCAAGCTCGTCCTTCACAGGCCATGGCGCATCCGCTTCGGCTATTCTTGCTCGCGCTGCACAATCATTATCCAGGCATACGTAAACAGAGCAGAACTCGCATCTTGTCACACAACCTAACATACAGCGCATAATGTCCTTATCAACATGCAAATTTCAAGTGGTATAGGCGTGTATCTAGCTAAATGGCAGCTATAGTACAGGGACTAGTACATATCCAGATATGCAATGGCTACCATTCGGTCGTGTCAATGCTCATCAATTCCATATTCCAATCTACTTGAGCGCCTTGATGACAGCGTCGGCGTACTCGAAGGTCTTGGCCTTGCCGCCGAGGTCACCGGTGATGGTCTATGGTAATGTTAGCGAATTGTCCTCCACAACAAAAAATGGAGAGATACTACGTACCTTGCCCTCAGCAAGGACCTTGAAAATAGCCTGCTCAATGTTAGCAGCCTCGCTGTTGAGGCCCATGTGTCGCAGCATCATGATGGAGCTGAGAAGAAGCGCGGTGGGGTTGGCGAGCTGCTTGCCAGCAATGTCGGGCGCAGATCCGTGGACAGCCTCGAAGATGGAGCAGTTGTCGCCAATGTTTCCAGAGGGAGTCAGACCGAGACCACCAATGAGACCAGCGCACATGTCGGAGAGAATGTCGCCGTACAGGTTGGGCATAACGAGCACCTTGTCGTTGTAGGGGACAGGGTCGGTGACCATCTTCAAGCAAGTGTTGTCGAGGAGCTCGGCGTCAAACTCAATGTCGGGGAAGTCCTTGGCAATCTCGCGGGCGGTGCTGAGGAAGAGACCGTCGGACATCTTCATGATGGTGGCCTTGTGAACGGCGCGGACCTTCTTCCTGCCAATGTCGCGGGCGTGCTGGAAAGCGTATCGCAGGACGCGCTCAGAGGCCTCGCGGGTGATGAGCTTGATGCTCTGTACGACGCCATCTACCACAATGTGCTCAATACCAGAGTACTCGCCCTCAGTGTTCTCGCGGATCAGGACGGTGTCGACGTCGTCGTAGGGCGTCTTGTAGCCGGCAATGGACCTGCAAGGACGGACGTTGGCGAAAAGGTTGAAGGTGCGGCGGAGGGTGAGGTTGAGCGAGACGTGGCCCTTGCCAATGGGTGTGGCCAGAGGGCCCTTGAGAGCGACGAGGTTCTTCTTGACGCTAGCAATTGACTCGTCGGGGATGACCGTCTTGCCCTCCTCGTTCAGGCGCGGGGTGACGTCGACCGACTCCCACTTGATGGGCACGTTGGCAGCCGAGTAGATGTCCTTGACCGACTGCGCGATTTCGGGGCCGATACCGTCACCCTCAATCAGGGTGACGCAGTACTTGCCATCGCTACCCTTTGTGCCGTGGAACTTGGCGACCTCAGAGGCGTATGTGCGGGCGGAGACCTGGGCCATGTATCAGCCTGTTTTTTCTCGTCTTCTTTCCATTTCTTTTCCCCTTCTTTTTCTTCTAGCATTTTCTTTCCCCTCTTACTCTCTATCACAAGGGCACATGCGAGAGCTGGTGGTAACTCTGGCAAACGTGCGGTCCCGCTATTACATGGAAGCTCACCTGGGACAGTGCGGGCGCCCATCTTGAGCGGTTGGCCTGGCGCAGGCATTGGCGCGCGGGCGAGGCGAAAGAACGAGCAGCCAGCATGTTGAGCGAGTAGAGAGTTGTTGGTGGGACCCAATTGCAGCTACACCGGGGGGGCAGTGGCAGGTCGTTGAAGTGCGGCGGAGGAGTTGCGCAAAGCTTGGATACAGAAAAAGAAGGCTCCACCGGCCGCGGGCGTCTTCGTGCGTCAAACCGGTACCTTCCGCCTTTGTCATGCGCATCCCGCGCTACGCATCCTTGCATCCTCGGCTCTTGCCCTTCATCTTTCTTCTCTAATATGCCCACATCTATTTCTTGTATGTACATATAGTTGGAAACTACATACTACAAGACCTTGCTCATCACAACTATCGCATCATCTTTCCTCACTGGAATTGCTGTACACAGAACTCGCCGCATAGGGGCAACCAGCCATCAAACCATTATCCGAAGAGCGGAAAACCGGACTAGCATCTCCTTCTCCATCTTGGCGAGCACGGGGGATTTCGTTCCGACTGTTGTCTCCATTTTCGCCATGGACGTGATTCTGCCAGTAAAAGAGTAGACACAAAGTAATGGTGATCTGGACAACCAGTAAACCGAGCGTTACCGCACACATGACGATGATGATTTCCGTCTCCATTTCTCTTGAGATGATACTTTCGAAAAGACACTCTGCGCAAGAAAGACTTCATATAAGAGGAGCTCACGCAGTGTTTCCACATTGTGAAGAATGCCCATCTCACCAGCAAACACACAGGCTACGCTACAATAACTCTCTACGTTTGCTTTTACCCATTTTCTTCTCTCTAGTCACAATCCACAGCCCCTCGCATCAGACGCCTTGATACCCTCTCCAACAACATATACATACCGCCCCCTCTTCTCAACCCTCGTATCCACCCCACACACCCCTCCCTCATCAAACCGCTCATACAGCGGCAAGACAGAAACCTCGCTCCCTCCACTCACCCTCCTCGTCATCACCGTTACTGCTCTAGCTGGTCTTTGCACACTGCGTTCCTCTCCCACACTCAACCCCGCTTGCATATCCGTCCCATGTTCTGTTTGCATTGGTCCGTCTAGTCCGATGTTCTGTGGACCGCGGAGTCGCTTTCTGGACTGGAGGGTTTGGTGGAGCTTGTAGAGAATGTGGAGGAGCAGGATGCAGGAGGCGATGATGAGGATTATCCAGAAGGGTTTGGAGTGCGGCCAGGAGAATTCGGGGTTGGAGGAGGAGGAGGTGGTGGTGGTGGTGGTGGTGGTGGATGTGTTGGGATATGGAAGTGGCATGCTAATTTGGTGTACAGGTGTTGCATTTGGGACTTTTTCGCTGGGGAGAAAGGAGAGCAGAAGAGAGAAGAGTGTAGCGGGAATGTGTATGAGGAGAAGAAACGGGGTTTGTTGGTTAGCAAGGTTTGCTGTTGTGCGTTGGGGGTAATGCGGGAGTGGCAAACGCAGTGAGCTTTGGTGAGCTGGGGGATACAGATGTAGTGGTTTGGAAGAGGAAAGAAGGAGTAGGTTAGGTAATACTGATGAAAAGGATGAAGAGAAAGTAAACGAACATATGAGGCGACATCTCTAGCCAAACAATTCGGTGTCAAAATGGCAAGCTAATAATAATTGGATATCATAGCCACAACTACACTACCATACCACTGCCAACCCCCCAATACAAGCAATATCCTTATAATCTACCCTGCCCAAAATATCCCATCTACAACTCCATGACTCTACCTTACCCCCTACACCTCAAATACTCACCCCAATCCGTCTTCCCTCCTTTAACCTCAACTCCCACAACCCCGTCCCCCTCCTTCCAACCTACCCACTTCTCCAAATCCAGCAGATGCCTCATTGTCGGCCTTCCGTGCGGACAAGACCATGGCTTATCCATACCCCCCATATGCCTTACAATCTCGCGCATACGCTGCGTCTTGAGCGTCTTACCAATCATAACCGAGCTCCTGCACGCACGACTAGCGAGTAACTTGCGGACTTTAGAGGGGCGCAATATATATGCGGATGAAGATGAGGTGGAGGAAGAAGGAGGGTTGTCGAGGATGAGGGAAAGGAGCTCTTCGAGGTCAGAGGGGGTGAAGGTTACCTCTTTGGACATGGGAAGGGAGGTGAGGCTTGCGCGGGTGCCGGGCCGGGGTTCGGTCTCAGATGTAGGGTTGAGCTCGACGACGAAGCCATTGGCAGCTAAGGTGGGTTGATTTGCGAGGATGATTTCTTCTTCTACGGCGGTTAGTTCGAGGGGGTGGGGGTGCACGAGACGCTGGGAGACAAGTTTGGTGGTTGCGGATAAGCGTTCGAAGTTGTATTTTTCGTCGCTGGCGTGCTGGTCGATAATGAAGAGATGAGAGTTGGGCGATGTTGAGGTTGGGGGCCGTACGGCTATGATGAAGCCTAGGTTGAATTGGCCGATTATACGCATTTTTCCAAAATCAGCTTTTGTTACTGTTAGACTGAGGCGTTCTTCTGCCTCTTCTCCGTTTGACTGGGCGTCAGTAGACAGTATCGCCGTTTGGTCAATTTCTGCCCGAGATGCATTGAAAGAGGGTTGAATGTGCTGCGCATGACGGGCAATCGATTCAATATTAGTCTTGATGACACGCCTGAGGTTGATAGTCCAGTGCTTCTTTTGGGCGACCGTAAAGAGTTTGTCGGCACGCTTTAGGCTCATCTCACTGGGCTGAGCCGCAGTCTCTTCAGCCTCAGCAATTAACTTAGTAAACCTGGCTTCCTCTCTGGCCTTCTTCTCGGTATCGTCCTCGTACTCATCGTCGGAATCTTCACCAGCTGCCTCTGGTTCTTCTTCAACAACCTCAACAGGCTCAGCGTCCGAGGATCCGCCAGCCATGGACAACGAGCGATCTGGAGAAGCGCGGGACGAGACAGTCAATTTGTTGATACGTGGCCCCTCGAGTGGCCTGGATGGCAAGCGTTTCGCGGGAGAGGGAGAGCGTATCGGTACATGAGTCGTGTTTCCATGACCCTCATCCTCATCCTCGTCATCTTCATCTTCATCTTCATCCTCGTCTTCGTCACTGCTCTCCATTTGCGTGCCAGGTGCGGTGAACCCGCCCAATCCCTTCTTGAACAGATTTTTATTTGGCGTCTGATCTAATGACTTGGCAGAAGAGGAAGACTTTGGGATGTGTATCCTCGATCGCCTTGAAGCTACCGAATGACTACCAGTACCAATTGTAGAGACAGTTGTAGTATCACCAACAGTTATTGTGGCCTGCTGAACCGGTGTTCGCATGGGGCGCATACGATCAAAAGCATTCTGAATGGTGCTTTGTGATGAGGGCTTCTGGGGAGTTTGCTTTATAGCCGGGACTGGCTGTTCTGCACATTCATCTTGTCGATCAGGTTCAGCAGACATTGATGGGCGTGTTCGTCCAACCGAGCGAGGGCTCTGAGATGCCACACGTGCATTAAAGTCTTGAATGGCCCTGGGAACCTGCGGGTGCCCAGCAGTAACATCACCTGTGTTTACTTCGGGTTCAAATAGTGGAGATTGTGATCGTGGACGAGTCGTCTCGGTTGGATGACTTTCATCATTATGCAATGAACTGTCTCTTGCAAGCTTATGTGGTGGACGAGTCGTCCGGTCTCCAGAGTCGCGGCCAGCAAATCGTTCGAGAAGGCTCGCTTTCACAAATCCTGGACGGTTATTCACATCCGGCACGTCTCGTGTCGAAGCTCTTCTAGAGCTTTCTTGTATTACTGCCCCGTCATCATCCGAGTCTTCTGGATCGCTCTGATCGCTTTCTCGTACAGATGTAGTGCTTTCATGAGACTGGATCGTGAGAGGTTTAAAGGCAGATGTCGGTGTTTTATTTTTTAGCAGCTGGGACTGAGGTACACTTTGTTCATGTCCCTGGAACAACTCGAGTAGGGAGTCCTTGATGTTCTCCAGGAGCACTGCTTGGTCGTGGAGCATGATGGTGCGTTTGTCTGGGCTTACATTGACGTCGTAGGCGTTTGTGTCAAGTTTGATGTCGGCAAAGATGAAAGGAGACTGTGTGATGTTGTAGGATTTGTAGACCTCATTGAATGCTTTGGAAACCTGAGGCAGGTTGCAGGGCCGCGAATTCACAAAGAACATTTGTTTGTCTGGCGTCTGACGGCCCTCGCCCACGACGGGACGGGATATGTGACCTACTATCCTCACGGTCCGCGATTCTATGTCGTCGTGCGCGTCCGGGGCCTTGATACTTTGTGTGGCACCCGGCCTATTGGAGGGGTCCATGATGAACTTGAGGTTGAGGGGTATGAGGGCGGTCACTGTCTTTGCACCAAACACATTGGAGATGTTGTCCCGCGTGCTGGTATTTGCATTGGTTGCAAAGGCTACTGTCTTCTTCCTTTGGATATGTGTCAGTATAATTGGCAATGCATGCACATGCTATCGGTTGCCACTGACCCTTTGGGTATCTGGTTGCTGACCGAAAACTTGACTCCGACACTGATGCATGCATATGCATTCAGCAGATGTAGGACCTTGTTGTATTCGCGTTTGATGTTCTTTTCGAGTTCCTTTCGTCTGACGGGTAGATTATGGAACAGAGTGTCGACCACGACGGTAGTGCCCTGCTTAGCAGCCACGACCGACGTTCCCTTGAGCTTGCCCGACTGCTCGAAGTCGAGCCTGGTGCCTTTTGGCCCATCTGAGACTCGGCTTGTGATGATGTGAAATTTGGAGAGGGCACATAGCGATGACAAGGCCTCGCCACGGAAGCCAAATGTCTGCAGCGATGTGAGGTCGTCGTAGGTGGCAAGCTTGGAAGTGTAGTGCTTGAGGGCAATGGTTTGGTAGTCTTCGGGTGAGATGCCAGAGCCGTTATCCTGGACTTCTATAGTATCGAGACCGTAGTTCTTGAAGCGGACCTCTACGCTGGGCATCAGCTGACTGCCGCCGTCTTTGGTCGAGAGTGTCGTGGCAAGGACATACCAATGGCCGTGGCGCCTGCATCGATGCTGTTTTCCACTAGCTCTTTGCAGACAGACTGTAGGTCGACAATGACCTGGCCCGACTGTATCTGGTGCACAGAACGGCTTTCTATGGCCTTGATTGTGGCCATGTCAATTCAGCCCATGTCCACAGTGAGCGCTCACTCACAGACAGCCTGCTTCACGGACTGACGCGCGACGCGTTGGCGAGCGGGCCAATGAGCGCACGCGCGCTAGGGCTTAATTAATTCGCATGTGGGGTTACAGCTGCATCTCTGCTCCGGCTCGCTTGGGTTCGCCTCTACCACATACTTCCATATTCATGGACTTGGTTGTGTAGAGGTGCATGCGCATGTGCTCTCACGTGTGATTACATACAATGGGCGTCCCAAGCGATCTTGCGCAACTGCAGAGGCCTCTGCGTTGCCTGCAGGCGCGGTCTCAAAAAAAGCAGGATGAGTGAGTTGGCCCCACTGACGCAAGCCCACTTGTATCAAGCCCAAGAAAGGAATACCTAGAACAATTTCCAACGCTCAATCAACCGTAGCGCATCGTTGCTTAGGCCTGCCTATAGACTTTGACATGCTTGACTAACGCATGAACAGAGTTGCGAGGCTGAAGCGCGAACTTGCTGAAGCTGAAGCCGAGGCGAAAAGCGTCAAGGCCGACTACTTGAAAACCATTATTTACTATGCCCGGACCGACTGCCTTCAGCTGGCAAACATGATGTATGAGAAGCTTCCTGCCGAATTACGTGAGATGGTGTACGAATATCTCTGTGTAGACGCCGATCGTCCCATTCCGGTTGGCCCTTACTATCATTTCCATGCATACAACAAGCCCTATGTCTATCCTGCGAAAGCCAAGACAGAAGTGGACGCGGAACCCGACCTGATTGAGAGACTTTTCGGCAAAAGGTCAGCATCCAGCACGGGGTCAGCATCCGGTGCACCCGGCAACAGCGCACCAGTAACATGGAAGCCGTCGGTTAACTGGGGGGATGAACTGCAAATAGACCCAGAGCTCGTTGAGCGCGTCTCGCGCCTGTGTGTCGACGAAGATGAAGAAGAGGCGGAATCAGATAGCAACTACACCATCCTCCCAGATGGCCGAGTCAAAGAGAAGCACACACACAAGCCCCCTAGCGACATGATGCTTCCTAGCAGCCATTTTCTGGACCCCAGATACGTTGGCCCATTAGTGTCGCATGAGACGCAGAAGGTGTACTACGCGCGGAACACCTTTTCTGTATGCAACGTTGAGAATGCGCTTGCCAATTTTCTGGGCCGGGATACTTGCTCGTATCACCGGGAGAAGTGGGAGGACGATCTTGCTCCAACTCACTCTACGACGCTTGAGGAGGTCCCGCCGTTGTTTGCAGCAGACCACATACGTCATCTGCAAATCCGGCTCAAGTTTGAGCATTTCCGCAATGATCTTCCAGCGAGGCAATGTTTCTTGGACCGATACGCATACGAGCAGCGCTTCCTGCGCACGACATGGGGTCATCTAGAGGGGCTCAAGCACTACCTGGAGCGCCGACCCAAGGGTAAGATAGAGATTGAGTTTATCATCATGACGAAGCTGTCAAACATGGAACATGTCGCGGGGCGGGATGAGTATAATAATGAAGTGCTAGACCGCGACCGTTGCTTTATGAACTTTTTACAGTGCATGCGGAACATGGTGTACAAGGCCATGTACGACCACGAAGACACGCTGGTCAAAGTCACGCATTACGATGCAAGGCATTGGATATTTCCGAGGGACATTACCGGCGTGTTTGGGCTGACGGCAGAACAGTGGGAATATGTAAGTGCAGTCTTGTCTTTCGAGTGGGGTACATGCGTAGTAGACGGAGGCATGGCCGTGGACATGACGGGGGCTGTTGGGGGTGTTGAGATTCAAGCTGATGTTGCTTTTAGGAGAAAAGCAAGCAGGGCGGCCAGCACGACTGGGTAGGGGACTTTTTCGTGATGCAGCAGGACGCTGGTCTGCGGGGTCTGCCTGGCGTGTACGACGACGAGCTGGAAGACATGGTGTGGGAGAGATGGGGCATGGCAACTGTGTTCGAGAAGGTCGCGACGGAGCCTGTCAAGGCAGGGCGGTTCTGGCCTGTGGTGGCCAAGACATGAGGAGCGGACAGAGGCGTATCTAAGTACTGTGTGCAATACGACGTGCACGCGCGACTTATCGGTATGTAGCATGGGCTTTGTAATACCTCATCTAAGTACTTACATATCATTTGGCCTGGGGGCGCGCGGACGCCGGGGCGGACGAGCAAGCCGATTGGCTGGGTGCCTGGGAATGCAGCCATTTCCCTACGTAGCATAGTCTTCGTCGCCCACTAGAGCAAGGGCAACCACACGCCGGGTGCCTTGGCCGCCCGCCAGTCGTCGGCTCTGGTCTGACTGTACTTACTTTCGCTACTCCGCCAGGGACGGTGTACTTGTACGGCGCAATCGGCGCGGAGGGTACATGCTTGCGACGCCCTCGACGCGACCAAGGAGCTTCGCCGAGGGGCCCAATGGCACTACGACAGTAGATCCGAGTCCACGGCCCCGTCCGGCAGAACGCGCCTGGCGTCTAAGTAGTGTGGCGGCGAGTTGCCGGGGGGGACGGCGCCAAGTCATGCAATCAAACATTCAAAGACCCTCTGCGGCCCTGGCTTGAGCCGACGCCAGCGGGAATTTCTTGACGCCCTCGACTTCTCGCTTTTCTGGGCTTTCCCTCCCGATCCTCCTCGTCCTGCCCCTGCCTGGCGCAACCCTCCCCTCCCCCCTCCTCCTCAGCACTGCTACCATGGCCGCCAACGGGAGCTTTGTCTCGCCCACGGCGGATGCCAAAGCCGCCCAAGTCCTGCAGCATTTCGACACCGCCGGCCTCCTTTCGTCCGTCCTGAATGGCCTCACCGTCTGGAAGCTGGCCTTGACGCTCATTGTGACGGCTGTCGCATACGACCAGTGTATGCATTGCACCGCACTTCGCCATGTGTGCGCGCCCGACACCGCCTGCTAACCCGTGCACAGTCAAGTACATTTGGAACAAGGGCTCCATTGTTGGCCCCTCGTGGAAGATTCCCTTCATCGGCCCCTTCCTTGAGTCGGTCAACCCAGACTTCAAAAAGTATCACGAAAAATGGTCGTCGGGCCCGCTGAGTTGCGTCTCGGTATTCCACAAGTACACCGCCCCACAAACCACCACCCCGCGACTCTGCATGTCCTAATTGCGCTCCCAGGTTCGTCGTCATTGCTTCGACCCGCGACATGGCCCGCAAGATCTTCAATTCGCCAACATTTGTTAAGCCTTGCGTCGTCGATGTCGCCTACAAGCTCTTGCGCCCCGAAAACTGGGTTTTCCTCGATGGCCGCGCCCACGTCGACTACCGCAAGGGCCTCAACGGTCTCTTCACTCGCCAGGCGCTTGAACAGTACCTTCCTGGCCAAGAGGACATCTACAACCGATACTTTAAGCAATTCGTTCATCTTTCCCAGGTTGAGAATAAGGGCAAGCACGTGCCCTGGATGCAGGAATTCCGTCTGATGATCACGGCCCTTAGCTGCCGCACCTTTGTTGGCCACTACTGCTCCGACGAGGCTGTCAAGAAGATTGCCGACGACTACTATCTGATTACCGCCGCCCTTGAGCTGGTCAACTTCCCAATCATCATTCCCTTCACCAAGACCTGGTACGGCAAAAAGTGCGCCGACATGGTTCTCGACGAGTTCTCCAAGTGCGCCGCAAAGAGCAAGGTCCGCATGGCTGCTGGGGGCAAGAAGGAATGCATTCTGGACTTTTGGGTCGATAACATGATTCAGTCGGAAAAGTACCGCAAGAGGATCGAGGCAGGCGAAAAGGTCGATGACTCTGAGAAGCCCGCTACCGTGATCCGCTGGTTCAGCGACCTTGAAATCTCCATGACCATCTTCACATTCCTCTTCGCCTCGCAAGACGCCACCTCCTCTGCCGCTACATGGTTGTTCCAGATCATGGCCGACCGACCCGAGTACCTTGATAAGATCCGCGAGGAAAACATCAAGGCCAGGAACGGCGATGTCCACGCCTCGCTTTCCCTTGACGCCATTGAGAAGCTCCAATGGACTCGCGCCGTTGTCAAGGAGACTCTCCGCTACCGTCCCCCGGTCATCATGGTCCCTTACCTTGCCAAGAAGGACTTCCCTGTGACGCCAGAGTACACTGTGCCCAAAGGCTCCATGGTCATCCCTACCACCTACATGGCCCTCCACGACCCCGAAGCTTACCCTAATCCCGACTCATTCGAGCCTGAACGATGGATAACTGGTGACGCCGATCAGCAAACCAAGAACTGGCTCGTCTTTGGCACAGGCCCTCACTACTGCCTGGGTCAGACATATGCGCAAGCCAACCTCATGTTGATGATTGGCAAGGCGAGCATGTTGCTTGACTGGGACCACAAAGTCACTGACAAGAGCGAGGTCATCAAGGTTTTTGCCACCATTTTCCCTATGGTATGTCTCATTCGTCGTTTCACATGCTTTGGACTCTCGCTAACACTATGCAGGATGATTGCCTTCTTACATTCAAGGACCGAGTAGCGGCATAGATGCTCCGAGCCCAGCCATGTGATGCGCACTTTTAGCGAGTCTTGGTTGCATTTCGTTGTGTATGGTTCGAGGTGAAGACCTTAATTTTAATTCTCCCAAGGCGGAGGCCAACACGCCTCTGTCCTCACTTTTTAATTATAATGATCACGGCCTGTTTTGGCTTGATGAGTACAGTGCAAGCTGAGATGAATTAATACTGGGGAGGATGGGTCTACACAGGACAGTGGATAATGCAATTAGAGCAGAGGGAAAGATTGGAAATCCTACCCTTTGTCTCATTACTTATACTACTTTTGGTCCTTGTGTTGCGCAATGCGATGTCGTGCAAATAGAGTATATGTGTATGCAAGAGAAACGAGCCATGCTAGGGGGGCTGAGCCATATCTTATTGTTTCAGCCTGTGAGAGCTTACCTTGATGTCATCGATGTCTCACACTGAGCTTAGCACGGCCACACGAATAGAATGTAATCTCTTTACCCCACTCTTTACACATTGTATAGAGCTAGTAAAAACTTCAGAAAAAGAACAGATGAAGCAAAATTGGCAGACCTTTGCATAAGTAGTGCTAAATATGTAAGAGTATAGGCGTAAAACTAGTATCTCTGAACTGTCCATTAGAGTGATGGTGTACTGCTGTCCACCAATCGTGTTCGAGCAAAGCTATGGCCAACTACTCTGGTAACTTTGAACTCATCGATCGCTCCACAATTCGATAGACTTTCAATCGCTCCCCGACATGCAACTTACGAGCCACTCTTGAGCCTTTGCTCGCTCTCCACGCTCTATTCGGAATAAGTACCGGGTACCCGGGCAAACTTGCGCCGAGCAACGCATGCCAAAGGTCCGTGTGTTGAGTTGCCGACCAAGCTGCTACCGTGCTGCATCACACCTACACCTACACACTTTCTCCTTCAGTGCAGCACGACGGCCCTGTACATAATATTGCACCATGGCGCCGGGCGCTTCCACCTCCGACCGCGACCGCGTTGGCCCACATCCGTCATACATCGAGATTGCGAAGCCATACATTTTACAGTCGCGCATGCAGAAATGTCTCTCAGACATCAACATGAGCGATGCCAAAGAAGATGCTGTACGTCTTCAAGGCGTCGCATGGATCGACCAAGTACGACGAGCGCTGCAACTACCTATTCGCACCTTCAACACTGCCGTCATCTATTACCACAAGTTCAGGCTGCTACATGCAGACAATGAATACAATTGGGCCGATGCGGCTGCGGCGGCACTGTTCACGGCGTGCAAGATTGAGGACACGTTGAAGAAGAGCAGGGAAATTCTGTGTGCTCATTGGAACCTCAAAGTTGCGCCCGGGGAAACGCTGAGTAGCGACGATCCTGTTCGTCCACCTCCCAACCCGTACGTTTACGACAATACTGGGGCTGACATTGTATCCAGCGCTTCGACAGTCACTCCAAACTCATCATCGGTCTCGAACGGCTCATGCTCGAAAGTGCCGGTTTTGACTTCCGCAATCGATATCCTCAAAAAGTCATGGTCAAGCTTGCTCGAGCCCTAAAATTTGACGCCAACGTCGAGGCGAAGACAACTTGGAACCTGAGCATCGACCTATACAGGACGTTTGCCCCACTGAAACAATCCACGCCAACCCTGGCCATCGCGTGTCTAGAGCTGGCTGCGAGACTGCACGGAAAGGACGCTACAAAGTTTGTCGATGCAGGACCTGTCAAATACAGCACATGGGCAACTAGCCGGGCAGAGGTTATGGAAACGCTGCTTGATCTCTTGGACCTTTACACCCACCACCGTGCCGCGACATGCGTTGGGCCCAATTACACGCTCGAGCACTTCCTCAACATTCGTATTGGATTGAACCAGGAAGCGTCGGCTGCGAATATTCCTCGCTACTCTCAATATGCATCTGGGGCGGCATCAGAAACCGGGGTTACGGGTAATGGCACAAAATCTCGAAATGGCCTCGGTCCTGCAAGCCCATTGACACCAGCAACTCCTGTCACGTTGTCGCCTGGGACCGAGCACGCACCCAAGTCGGCTATAGGAATTCGCGGTCAGAATGGTACGGTCAGGTTTATGCTAGATGCTGCTAGAGCCCATGACGAGCGCGCTGAAGTGGAAAAATTTCACAAGGTCGAAGAAGAGGAGTACGAGGTAGAAGTGTCCAATGACACTAGGCCCGACGACAGGGAAAGAGACAGGATACGAGTTGGACGAGTGCGTCGGGAATAAGCATTTAACATACCACATGGCTTTATGTCATCCTACTTGATATGGTAGTGAGAAGCTAAGAATTGTTAGACAATATTCCCCCAGCGGTTTGAACAGCTGGCGTGGTGTCTTTGTTGTATCCGGAGATCAGCAAGGGACTGAGTCTATTTGAGACCACTGGGACAAACCTTGTCCAAACCAAAGAAATTCGGGCGGTGATTTCCTTGACGACGGTAACGCCCACTTGCCCATCGGATAGGCGTGATCAAACGCATGCGACAAGGATCGTCTCAAGATGGAAGAGTGCACAGGAAACGACGACCATCAACGGAAATGGTCTGGAGCCGAAAACCGACGAAGCTAATGAAGGCAGCATGGTTATGGCGGCGGTTGAAACAGTCAGCGCGCAGGCAAGGGTAGAGGAGGGGGCATGGTTCTGATGGTTCATCTCTATAACCTAGACGCTCGCGTCCATGACCATGGTTGTCCACTTCTACCAAGCAGAAGAAGCGTATGTGAAGCGGTGTGCACAGATGAGAGTTGTCCCTACGGAGGTTTTTTTTTGTGCTCAGCAATGGTCCCTGAGTATACTTCCAACACTAAGCTCAAGTCTCTCCTGGGTGTGACGCTCAAGAGCCGTCAGCACTGCTTTAGCTGTAGTGATAACGCAATACGACAAGCTTGTAGAAAAACACGGATCATACACCAGTTTGGGTTAATAATAATAATCATAGGAAACGACGCAAATCCACCGATCTTGTAGCTGTGCGATGTCAGTCCTTGTGTTGATTCCCTTTCCTCATGTGTCTCGAGACATTCTTGGAATTTTCACCGGACATAGCGGAGATAAGCCCGATGGGATCTAATATCGCTCCAACGTCTCAGGTGCCTGTGACGATCCAATTTCTAAGCGCTCATGATTAGATTGGCGCTGAGTACAGACACAGCCATAACTCTGGAGGAGAAACGCAGTCAGGGCAGAGTGGCAAGGGCGTAGAGTATGCCTAAAGCACCCAGAAGGTTTGGATGCATGCGGTTCCACGGCAACAGGCGTTCGCGTTGGTGCTGCAGAAAGTCGCTTTTGGGCGCAGCGCCGGCGCATTAGAGATTACCCAAAAACAATTGCGGTAGTGATGGCGTAAGAAAAGGTAGAGTCACGGAAGGATGTCTGGGCGCGAGGGCGTTGCGATGGCTTATAATGGACAATTGGGCAAGATGAAGTCGGGCATCTGGGCGCTGCGAGACCAGGTGTAAGTAGAATACCCAGTGGCTGGAGGGGGGCAGTGACGATATTCAAGTCGAATCAGTCTCCACTTGTGTCGCAGCACTATCCAATGACATGCATTGGGCTGCAGTGCGGCAACCCCAGATGGAGGGGATGACGATAGCCCGTATGCGTAGCCAGCAATTGCAACTGAGCCATTTAGCCAATGCCCGTCCATGGGACAGCACGAGGCAATGCTGAGCTGTTGTAAGCAGAAAGAGGGGGCGGGCAGAGTGCAATGGGCAAAGGGCGCTGCAGACAATCTGCTTTGGGCATTGCAGGTTACCTCGCGCCACCAGCAAGGGCCGTGCATTAGCGAGGAAAGCGCGACCGACCCCACCACTAGCCCTACTAAAAACCTTCGCTCCCCCTCGCAGCAGAACTCTCCTCACTCAGACGCCTGCCCGCCTCTACGGCTTACAATCACCCTCTCGTCTGTCTGACTCTGGTCGACTGCTGCGCCAGAGACTTCAGCTCAACTCCCACTCCATCCATCGAGCCCGCGCGTTCAAAGCGGGGTATTCGTTGCTCCCCCACTACTGAATTTTCGTAAAAGAAGACAGTAAAAACACCGCCAAAATGGTCAAGTACGTCGCCACTTTTTTCCTCGCTCATTTCGAGACATTAGGAGCCTCTGCCCTTGTCTCGTCTGGCAATCAGGAAACCATGGCTAACAGCATGACAGCTTCACGGTCGAGGAGGTACGTAGCGCGCTCGCACACACAGCAGCAACCCGCATCGCGCCACAATTGGCGGCAGCGACGACGATGCCGACGAAAACAACACCAACCCGAGGAATTGCAAACTGACAATGCCTCTAGATCCGTGGTCTCATGGACGATCCTAAGAACATTAGGAACATGTCCGTTATTGCTCACGGTAAGCGCCCACAAGAGAACCCCGCAATGCGTGGCAAGAAACATGGCTGACGTACCCCACCACAGTCGATCACGGAAAGTCCACCCTCACCGACTCGCTCGTCCAGCGTGCCGGTATTATCTCAGCTGCCAAGGCTGGTGAGGCTCGTTTCACTGATACCCGTGCCGACGAGCAGGAGCGTGGTGTCACCATCAAGTCGACTGCCATCTCTCTGTACGCTCAGCTCAACGACGCAGAGGACCTTAAGGACATCCCCGTCAAGACTGAGAAGAACGACTTCTTGATCAACTTGATCGACTCGCCCGGTCACGTTGACTTCTCGTCCGAGGTCACTGCCGCTCTCCGTGTCACCGATGGTGCTCTCGTCGTCGTCGACACCATTGAGGGTGTCTGCGTCCAGACCGAGACTGTCCTGCGCCAGGCTCTTGGTGAGCGTATCAAGCCCGTTGTCATCATCAACAAGGTCGACCGCGCTCTTCTCGAGCTCCAGCTCTCCAAGGAGGATCTGTACCAGAACTTCTCTCGTGTCATCGAGTCCGTCAACGTCGTCATTGCCACCTACTTCGACAAGACCCTTGGTGATGTCCAGGTCTACCCCGAGAAGGGTACCATCGCTTTCGGTTCCGGTCTCCACGGCTGGGCTTTCACTATCCGCCAGTTCGCTGCTAGGTACGCGAAGAAGTTTGGTGTTGACAAGAACAAGATGATGGACCGTCTCTGGGTAAGTGCATGATTTTTTTCGAGAGGAGATTGCAAGCTGCTAACCAGTACCAGGGCGACAACTACTTCAACCCCAAGACCAAGAAGTGGACCAAGGTTGGAACCCACGACGGCCAGACTCTTGAGCGTTCGTTCAACACCTTCATCCTGGACCCCATCTTCCGCATCTTCAACGCTGTCATGAACTTCAAGAAGGATGAGATCCCAACTCTCCTCGAGAAGCTTGAGATCAAGCTCACCTCCGATGAGAAGGATCTCGAGGGCAAGGCTCTCCTCAAGGTCGTCATGAGGAAGTTCCTTCCCGCCGCTGACGCTCTCCTCGAGATGATGGTTCTTCACCTTCCTTCTCCCGTCACTGCTCAGAAGTACCGTATGGAGACTCTGTACGAGGGTCCCCACGACGATGTCAACGCCATTGGTATCCGTGACTGTGACCCCAAGGGTCCTCTCATGCTGTACGTTTCCAAGATGGTGCCCACTTCCGACAAGGGTCGTTTCTACGCTTTCGGTCGTGTCTTCTCTGGTACCGTCAAGTCTGGTCTCAAGGTCCGTATCCAGGGTCCTAACTACACCCCTGGCAAGAAGGACGACCTTTTCATCAAGGCTATCCAGCGTACCATTCTCATGATGGGCCGTTTCGTCGAGCCCATTGAGGATGTCCCTGCCGGTAACATTCTCGGTCTTGTTGGTGTTGACCAGTTCTTGCTCAAGTCTGGTACTCTTACCACCAACGAGACTGCCCACAACCTCAAGGTTATGAAGTTCTCCGTTTCCCCTGTCGTTCAGCGTTCCGTCGAGGTCAAGAACGCTCAGGATCTCCCCAAGCTGGTCGAAGGTCTCAAGCGTCTGTCCAAGTCGGATCCTTGCGTTCTGACCTACATTTCGCCATCCGGTGAGCACGTTGTCGCTGGTGCCGGTGAGCTGCACTTGGAGATTTGCTTGAAGGATCTCGAGGAGGACCACGCTGGTGTTCCTCTCCGTATTTCCGACCCCGTCGTCCAGTACCGTGAGACTGTCAACGCAACTTCCAGCATCACTGCTCTGTCCAAGTCGCCCAACAAGCACAACCGTCTCTACCTCACTGCTCAGCCTTTGGACGAGGAGGTTTCCAGGGCCATTGAGACTGGCAAGATCGCTCCTCGTGACGATATCAAGACTCGTGCCCGTATTCTGGCTGACGAGTACGGCTGGGATGTCACCGATGCCCGTAAGATTTGGTGCTTCGGTCCCGACACCACTGGTGCCAACTTGCTCATTGACCAGACCAAGGCCGTCCAGTACCTGAGCGAAATCAAGGACTCTGTCGTCTCTGGTTTCCAGTGGGCCACCAAGGAAGGTCCCATTGCTGAGGAGCCCATGCGTTCCATCCGCTTCAACATCCAGGATGTTACTCTCCACGCTGATGCCATTCACCGTGGTGGTGGTCAGATCATCCCTACCGCGCGTCGTGTCCTTTACGCTGCCACTCTCCTTGCCGAGCCTTCCCTGCTCGAGCCCGTCTACCTCGTCGAAATCCAGGTTCCCGAGCAAGCCATGGGTGGTATCTACGGTGTCCTTACCCGAAGGAGAGGTCACGTTTTCGAGGAGAACCAGCGTGTTGGTACTCCTCTGTTCAACGTCAAGGCATACCTCCCCGTCAACGAGTCTTTCGGTTTCACTGCCGATCTCCGTGCCGCCACCGGTGGACAGGCCTTCCCTCAACAAGTCTTCGACCACTGGCAGCTTCTCCAGGGTGGATCACCACTTGACGCCACCACCATGGTTGGTAAGATTGTTGCCGACATGCGTAAGCGCAAGGGTATCAAGGTTGAGGTGCCTGACGTCTCCAACGTAAGTTTCTCGCTAGGCTTCATTATCCAAGCATATGCTAATAAATTTCGCAGTACTACGACAAGCTATAAAGGAAAACTGTCAAAAGTACTAGATTTCCTTTCCTCGCAACTCTGGGTCATCCCTCAGTCATGGGCAAGCTTGTGGCCGCTGGTATATGTATGACGCAAACGGCTCCCCTCTATTTTAAGAGCAGTTAGAGTTAGTAAATGTCGGTCCGGGCGGTTAGCCCATTACGGTCAGGTTTTTGCGGGTTTGCACGAAAGATACGGATGATGACCCATTATTTCCTTACCTGTTCTCGGTGTCGTGTAGTTGGAGAAAATCAAACTATGTTGCACAAAACTTGTTAGTGGTTGATCTGATATTCTCGTGTGTGAGCAATGAATGTGATATTGCTGGTATGGGTGGTGAATGTGGAGGGGCAGGTCCAGTCACGTGCTCACGGGTCAGCGAAGCTATGACCTTTGGTCGCGCTAAGAACAACGCGAATTACATGCGCTTGGCTCAACTCCCGTGCCGCCGAATCTACCCTCCACTTGCAGCAAAAGTTTACTTATATTCCTACCTTCCGAATCGCGCAACCCGGAGGAGAGCGGGAATTTTGGTGCCAGAGTCATGATGCTGCTTCAGGAAAAGGACCAGGCCGCTTTCAAGAACTGGCTACTGCCGAAGCTCGAGACCATGTAAGTCAGAGCCGATAGTTGCTGTCGCGAAAGTCCTGGATTCATAGTGCTAATAATGAATACAGCTCGGACGCTGAGGCTGGGGTCCTTGCCGATTATGTTGCTGCGCTTGTTACTGTTGACGAAACTGAAGCAAACGTTCGGCGCAGCTGCATCGAATCATTGGAAGATTTCCTCGGGAAAGATAGTAAGCAGTAGTCAGACAATGTCGCACATGCTCGTCGTGCAGGGTATTAGTGGCTAACAAGGAACAGATACCGAGCCATTCGTAAACGACGTGATCGCGGCGCTGAACGACAAGAGTTATCTTCCAAACGCTCCACCTTCTGCACCTATACAGTCCATAGTAGGCAGTACGAATCTTGAATATGAACCTCATCACTCAAACGTGCCATTCAACGCACCGAGGGGCCCAGCCGCGACTAGATTTCCGCCCACACCACATCGTCTACTCGACCGGCCGGCCCCGCAGGGAATGCAGCAGGATGGATCAAGTCTAACAAGGAAACGCAAGGTATTGGAAGAGGACAATAACCAGTTTTGGGAGGGTCAGGACCCGCATTACAATCGCAGCGGGGGCGGTGGTAACAGACCATCGAAGCAGACAGCGCGTAGGGGCGGTAGAAACGCAAGAGCTAGGGACACTCAACACAACGCCTTGTATGACTTGAGTCGCATGCCAAACTTTGCAAACCTTCCAGCGCCCCCGCCAGGACCTCTTCCGTTCGACCCGTCAGATCCTATGGCTTTCTTTGCAATGGCTGCAGCTTTTGGCGCAAATCTTCCTGGTATGCCACCCTTCTCCTCAAATACCCAAGGTCATAGTTCTCGTCATAAGGGTCCCAAGGGCTCCAAGGGCTTGTGTACCAATTATTATGAAAAGGGATTTTGCGCCATGGGAACCCTTTGCCCCTTTGAACATAGCGACGCTGCTGTTGCCGTTCCAGCCAACGAAATCCCTGAGTATGACCCGGAACAGTCGTATCTTGCTGTACAGCCTCATCGAGGTACGGGCAACCGCGCCTTGTCACAGACTCGACGTCGCACCAATAAGGGCGGTAAATCACGTGCGCCGTTCTCCCAATCCGGCCCGTCACGCGATCCGTCAAACACTATGTTGGTGGTTGAGCAAATCCCCCCAGAGAACCTCAATGAAGATAGTGTACGAAATTACTTTTCGGAGTTTGGCAATATCGAAGAAGTAGACATTCAGACCGACAAACGACTGGCAATCATCAAGTTCAGCGATCATGCTGCTGCAAGTCGAGCATACAGTAGCCCAAAAGCCGTCTTTGAGAATCGGTTCGTCAAAGTCTATTGGTATCGACCGGAGGAGCACCCAGAAGAGGAGAAACTTGACCTCGAGGCCATTGCGATCAGACAGGCAGAAGCACAGAAGGCTTTTGAAGAACGCCGTCGAAGAGAGGAGGAAGCTGATGCTAGGGCCGCAGAGATTGAGCGGCAGCTGAAAGAGAAGAATGAAGAGATGCAGGAAATTAGACGACAGCTCGCAGAATTATCGGGCGATAAGGCTGACGAATTTTCGCAGACATTGGAGACTCTTCAAGCCGAAGCTGCCGAGCTCTTTGACCAGCACGACCCTAGCGACCCTTCAGGACGTGGCCGTGGCTATGGCGCATTCCGTGGGGGTTATCGAGGTCGCGGCTTTGCCCCCTTCCCTCCCCGTGGCAGAGGCTTCACATCCTATAGAGGCGCGTATCATGGTCGTGGGTCTAGCTTTGTCGCTTCTGCATTCCCGGGTCGTAGTGCCGTCAAGAGACTTGACAACAGGCCCAGACGACTTGCTGTTTCTGGCATTGAGGCTGACACTCCAAGAGATGAGGCTTTGAGGCAGTATCTTCTGGTAAGTGGATATATGTCTGTGATGTGTTTTCTTCTGCTAATGAGACGTATAGAACGTTCCCGATTGCACGTCTATCGAGCGCCATCCAGAGCAAGACGATGCTCTTATCCTTACATTCAAGGAGCGTTACCAGGCAGAGATGTTTCTCGACCAGTCGCTTCAGATTCCTGACGTGGGCAAGTTGGATCTTGCATGGGTTCCTAATGACGCATTTGGTGGTCTTGAACCTTCTACCACAACCGTAGGTACAGCTCATGCCAGGGTTGAAGATGATGACAATTCTTCTGCCACTGTTGGTGAAGCGGACATCAGGGACGAAGACGATGATGGCCAGCCGATTGGTGGCGCGGATGCAGACATGGACGTTGCTGATGACGTTGATCGATGGATGCAGGCAAACACCGCGCCGTGAGACACGATGGCGTTTGTAGCTTGCTCTTCCCTTTTCCCAAGTTTTTTGAATCCTTCTTTGCATGAGCATGGCGTTTTTGTTTAATCTTACGAGATGGCATGGCATGGGATGAATTGACGTCAGTGACACTGGAGATACCAACTAGATAGTCGGTACATATTTAATAAATTCAACAATGCTATGCAGAATTGTTGGCTCTCTGGCCAGTGACTCCACATCCCTTTCTGCGGTAAAAGATGTGGCATATCGCTCTTAACCCATCCGAACACCAGTGACGCAACTGAAATCCCATCCAGACCCTCCCCTAAATTCAAAGATTGCCATGACCCCGTAATTCAGATACCTCGTACAATATCGCTAAAGAAAAAAAGAGAATCCCCTCCCCCTTCAACCATGCCCCGAAAAGAAAACTCGTTTGTGTACCCATACAAGTCAAAATCATGAAAACAACCCCACCCTCCTCTTCACATCCTCCCCTTTGACCCCACACGCCCAACTCGCCCGCTCCTTGACACACAGCTCGCGCGTCGGCCTCAACCTGCCCTCGACCAGCCGTGCATCATCCACCGTGCCCAACCGCACAATCGCGCAACCAGGAAACGCAGTACCGACCCTATACATATTCGAACCGCAAGCCTGACAGAAGAACGTAGTGGAGCCGTGACTTGAAGGGGTCGACACAGGTTGTGAGTAGGAACAAAGATTTGACGTTCCACGGAGATGTTTTAGGAAGCTAAAAATAATAATTTCAAAGCATTAGTTTGATAAAACAAAAAAAAGAACACTTTCAAGCTTGTGTGTGTGTTTCGGGGCTTTTTTTTTAAAAATTTTTTTTTTGGAGGATGAAGGAAAAGGGGGGGGGAGAGAGAAAACATACTCGTCTTTAACAACAACACCGGCTTCAGCGCCTCCTTTTCTGCAGTCGATGCAGTAGCATACAAAGGACGCGACGAGACCCGGTGAAGTGGTGGGAAAGGCAAGGTGGACTGCGCCGCAGAGACATGTTGCTGTTCCTTCTTGCGCTGGTGCTGTTGGAGGCACGCCTGGAGTCCATGGAGATGTAGAAGAGGATAGGCCTGTGAGTCCAAAGTATGGTGCGGTGATAGTCGTAGTTGTTGTTATTGGTTCGGCGGTGGCGGCGGGATCCAGCTTACTACGGTACGTGCTACGGCCTGGTGTAGCGGTTGTTGTGCTGGCGCGGGTGCGGCGTGTGGAAGATATAGGGGGAGGGTATGATCGTAGAGTTGGATCTTGGGTTGCTTTGGCGGAGTAGTCTTTTTGGAAGGCGGTCGAGAGTGTGGTTTTGGCTTCTAGGGTTGATATTGATGGTGGTGGCAGTGGCGGCGCTTGTTGTGTGCGTATTGAAGCAGATTTTCGGCTTAATCGGCGGACGGAGAGGGAGGAGCGCCTGGAGGAGTATTTGGTTCCATTGTGAGATGATGGGACGGATGGCGCTGCTGCTGCTGCTGCTGCTGCTGTTGCTGCTGGTGGGGATGAGGAAGCGGAGGATGGGGGTGGCGAGGGAGATGAAGAAGATGAGGGTCGTGTAGCACCATGCGAAGGAGCATTGCTACTTTTACTACCGCTGCTGTCTGGGATTTCGAGATCGGGGTTGAGGACTCGAGTTACGTGCTTTACGCTTGCTGCTAGGTTGAACTTCATGGCTGATTTACTTTGCATACGCTCATACACACTTTGGTAGTGGCAATAACAACACGCATGCAAAAACCCCTCCAAATTCCCACAAGAGCGCGTTTGTATCAATGTATCACGGGATATCCTGCGTGTAGCCGTGTGGGCAAGGATGAACTAAGACTCGAAGCGCGCTACCTACTGGCTGACGAAGAAAAAAGACTTGACCTGAAACAAAAGTGGTTAACTGTGGATAATACGTTATTTTTGAAAAGAGAGAGAAAGAGAGTATGTGCAACGCGCTCCGAGGAGAGAGGGCTGGACTCGGTTCTTTGGGTCCCCCCCCCGTTGCTACCCTTGTTTTGGGGGCATGAAAACGTGCGTTGCGCGTTTTGCTCGTGCTTCATCTGTTGAGAGATGTGGGTTGAACCGAGATTTCGTCATCATGTTAGTTGTCTGCTGTTCCTGCGTCGGCTGTTGGACCCGGCTTTGGATTATCGGCTTGGGTTTTGGTAGGTGGGCTTCCTGGTGGGTTTAGGTTTAGTATGTGGACTAAGTAGATGCGGGTGTGTATTGTAGTACAGTACTTGCTTGGCTGACAGCTTGACAGCTGTTTTTGGATTAGATGGTTCCACAGCCGCCTATCGGCAAGGTCGGGTGGTATCTGCAGGTGTGGGGATCCATCTTTCTCGGGAAGGGTGTGGAGAAACACGGGTGTTTGCTGATCCACTTCTTTTCCGTTTCGCATGTAGATGCCAAAGTGCCACATGCTGTTTCCCAGAGAGTCGCATCCTGTTCGTCCTGCGAGATGTACTTTTCCCACGGTTCACTGTCCAACCTTATTTTGCATCACGCCATGAAACCAGCAAAAGCCATGGCCTTGTCGCAGTCGGTGCAGAGATATGTGACTCTATCATTGTGGTCTGAGCATGCCTCAAGTTAGCTGTACCAAAATGTCATATGTACGGCCCCTACCGGGTTATTTTCAATTGCTCCGCGCCACATGGCCGGGTAAGTGCATGTGACATCTCCCGTGCATAGTGAGGGAATTGCGGATTTATTCCAAATGAACTCTGACATATATGGGGGGAGTGCGGAGGATGTGATGGTGGTTGTTGTCATGGCTTCCAAAAAGAAAACAGAGCCAGAGCCACAACTTAAAATAGATCTGCTTAGTATGAAACCATCTTACTAGCCCTCCTGTTGGACAACACCGGTATAGCTAGGGACAAGGATTCAATCTCTCGATTCTACTATACTCCCTCACAACTTACTTGCTTTCCCGTTCCCAAGAGTAACAACCAACTTTCCAAACTGGCTTGCGTTCTTCATATCATCAAAGAGCGTGTCGATCTTCTCAATATCCAATCCGTGCACACTGCGACTCACAACTGGCTTCATCTTTGTGTCGCGCACAAATTGGACCATTTCTGCAAACTCTTTGCGCGAGCCCATGGTGGAGCCACGGACTTCAATGTTGCGCAGCACGGCGGACATGAGGAAATCCATCTTGGGTGAGACGGTCATGCCGTAGACGGAAATGACACCGCCAGCCTAAAAATAAACTCGTCAGTCTGTGGAAAGAATAAAAGGGAATATGCAAGGCAGAAAGTAACGGACCTTGAGAAGTTTGCTTCCAACTTTGATGACATCGCCCCCAGCGCCATCGACAATAGCATCAAGGTATGGCCTGTCCTTTGGAAGTATAGCCTGCAGCTTCTTGTCCCAATCTTTCTCCTTGTAAATAACACCGCCCTTGGCGCCCAACTTGACAGCCTTGTTGATCTTGTCTTGGTTCCCGCTGGTGACGTAGACATTGCACCCACGGGCGACGGCAAAAGACAGCGCCATGAGGGCGACACCGCCGCCAATGCCCGTGACCAAGATGTTCCTGCCAGCAACGGCATTGCCGCTCTTGACGTGGAATGCGCGCCATGCGGTCAGCCCTGTGAGGGGGAGCGCAGCAGCCTCTTCGTCGCTCAGGTGCTCGGGGCATTCTTCTAGCTCACCTGCGTCAAGCACGCACACATCTTGGAGTGTACCCACGGGATTGCTCTTGGTTCCGCCCATGATGGAATATCCCTTTGGGTGCTCTGGCCCTTCGAGGCTGTCCTTCCAGCCTGTGCCGGGGTTCAGTAGGACGCGCTTGTTGAGCCATGGCTTTGCCTTCGCCGAAGAGCCTGTGCTTGTTACGATGCCGACGCCATCTGCGAGAAGAGGTACGCCAAAACTGGTGCCGGGGTAGAGGTGTTGGCGGATAAAGAGGTCGCGGTGGTTGAGGGCGGCTGCTGTGAGGGTTATGACGGCCTGAGGTTGAAGACAGTTAGCTGGTGTGGTGGGCGAATGTGCGGGCAGAGAGCCATTACCTCATTTTCCTTGGGCGTGGGCTCAGGCACGGTGATCTTTTCCAGCGGGTAGTAGACCTGTCCTGGCTTGCCTGGAACCTGCTTAATCACAATGGCAGAAGGCATGTTCTCTAGCTTGTGAATTGAATGTGCAAAAGAAAGAAGATAGTTTGAGTAGCAGCACTCAAAAAGACACAATACAGAGATTGGAGCTGGACAGGGCGATCAACTTATTTTCTCATGCCGACATGCAACTCAGCCATGCATGACGAGTGAGGATCGAACCGAGGTCGACGCGGCTTGCAGGGGTTCTCCACTGTGCGGGGAACGCCTATCAGTCTCGGACTTTGTTCTGTCGTCAGCAACTGTGCACCAACTTCACGGCCACGACGGGTGTACGTTTACTTTTGTTTTTCGTATTGCAATTGTACTACGCAAGTTTATTCGAGTGATCATGTCCTACCTTGCGCACAAAATACCCTGACCAAATTCATGACACGCTTAAGCCTTCCATCGGAAAGATGGATGTCTCCAATCTAGGTCCTCAATTTCCTCTGGGGATTTGCCCGCCAATTCTGCTTCGGCGTCCACATTCTTCCGCTTATTGTTGCTCTGCTTCATCCAGAATAGAAGCACGATACTTGAAATCAGAATCACGCTGCTGGTGGCTAGATTAAGCCCGTTACCAATGGGATAGTTTGGCGCATCAGTCGGCAGGAAACTCCATGTCGAAATCAACCCGCCAATATTACCAAGCATAACCACAGTGCCTGAGAATACATGTTAGCAGTGATTCTGTATTTAGTTCATGATTTGAGCAACTCACCAATGGCAGATGCCCTAGCCGTGTCAGACACAACGTTGGCCGAAGCCTGCGCATTGCACAGCGCGCCAAAAGAAAATGCTCCTGAAGCGATCAAGAAGGTAGCTCCGTAGCGTACTTGGCCATCTTTGCTTGCCAAGAACATGATATAGCCCACCATCATGAAAGGCGCTCCTATGATGAAGAAGATCATGCGCCTGTCGAACCGCCCGCTGAGAAATGGTAGGAGAACCGTGAAGAATGCCCCGACAATGTACGGTGGGACCGTGTGAAGCTGCTGCGAGACAACTGAACTCTTTGGATAGATTGTGCGGACAATGGTGGGCGCAAAGAAAGCCAGGCCCTGCACTGTGATATTGTCCAGTAAGAAGATGAAGGCCGTGGTCAACACCACAGGATTGAAGATTCCGCGCATAAACTTCTTCTTATCCACCTTGTCGAGCACCTCTTTTTGGCCCAAACGCTCAGACTTGACACGAGCAATCGCCAATTCCTTCTCTTCCGGTGTCAACCAGCGCGCAGTTTCGGGTCGGTCCGTAAGCGTGAAAAAGGCAATGATTGAAAGTCCACAGGTAACAATTCCTTCAATGACGAAGATCATTCGCCATCGTGTCAGCGATCCAAACTTATCTAGGGTCAAGATGGCTGACGCGAGAAGACCGCCAAATGCGCCAGCAAGGGGAGCCATGACGATGTAAAGGGATAGCCTGAATGCAAGTTCAGAGCGGCGGTACCATCGCGATAGGTAGTATGCGATACCGGGCAACCTACAGAAAACCAGTAAGCTGGCATCTCAACAGAGCCACCAAAGGTACTCACATTCCGGCTTCAAACATCCCCAAAATAAATCGGACGGCTGATACTTGGGCTTTAGTATGCACAAAACCCGTTGCTATGGAGACTGCGCCGAAGCATAGCGAGATGATGGGAATAACTACAATCGGAGTTATTAGTACTTTGCGCCCAATGCTGATTTGCAGAGGTAGTACGCACACCACCCGGGACCCATCCACTTGCAAGCCATATTGGACGGAATTTCAAAAATAATGTAGCTGATGTAGAACACGGACAAGACAGAGTTGTAGTCGTGTCCCTTAAGATGGAGGTCTTTTTCTAGGCCGGCTAGACGTGCATTTCCAATGTTTGCTCGGTCGATGAAGCAGAAGAGGTAGAGGAGAGCGACTGTAGGAATGATGTACAGATCGATCTTGAGTCTCAGCCGCGCTTCAGCCTTCTTGTCAAAATGGATTACAGGCTCTCCATAGCTACACGATTTATTAGAAAACAAAACGCACAACTTGGATACAGCGACTGGACACCTACGCGTCTGTGGTAGCATGGCCATGAGCAGCCACTTGGTGCGGAAGTTCAGACTTGACGTCTTCTTGCTGGCTGGGCGAGTACTGGCCAGCCTCGTACTTTTCAGGCACATAGTCGGCCTGAGCATGAGCCATGGTGAAGGCAGTGGTTTGTCGAAGAAAGTAAGAGAGAGTCAAAGTCTTTACCTGACGCGGCCCATGGCAGGTCGCAATGCCGCAATTGCGCTTTATAGTTTGATGATTCCAGCACGACCGGGGCCCTGCCCAGTCTCACCGTCCCGTCTGCGCATCCCCTGTTGGACCGGGTGGATGCCAAGAGCCGTAGCTGGGGGAGGCTAAGCCCTTTTCAGGTGGACAGTAACGCTAATCGGCCCACCTGGCCAATACGCGGGATTCCCCCCAGAACTAACGACGACCGACGTGGAGTCTAGGTCAACTGCTGCCAAGAACCCCGTCCAAGCCTGTCACCGGGTAGTAATGTCGGAATCTGAACTGAAGCCTTTCTTCTCCGCTCGTTCACATAGTAAATCTCTTCGTCCGGTTGCCTCCCCCGCACGTACGTACCCCGCAGCGCCACCGAGTCTTGGTTTTGGGGACTGAGGAGCCAGTGGAGATGTGGAAGCTCCATTCGCTGGTCTGTTCAGCCAAGATTTGGCGTTTAGTCTATGTGGAAAAGCCTTCCTTTATTTCAGCTGGATGGCTAGCGCTTCGACATGGGGCGGACGATAAGAGACGGTTTGACATGTCGACGCAATGCGTTCCATGGATGGCTATCCACAACGGGAAAGATTTAAAATGCCACAGCTGAGTATTGAATAAGAAGACATCGTACTTACTACTAGTGCCTGTGGCATTGATTCAAAGGAGCCGAGTTGATTGTGATTTCCGTATAGCGAGTGCGATTCATGTGAAAGCACGGGCTCTGGGGGTAACTGCCGATTAGCTGTGCATGCATATTAGCATCGTTATTATTACTGCTCTTTTTATAATTGGGCACAATGCTTACACCAGTTTGAACTCTCTCTACAATCCCAACAGACTTATCATCGCATGCGTTGTCACTGAAAGTAACGCACATGTGGCCCACATGGCGAGAAGCGCCTCAGGTTAGTCTATGTAGGGTATGCGCTCCTCCCGAGACGTACCGGCAGATCGCCCCAAATTGACAGGAAGTCTGCCGCTGCCAGTCATTCCCCTTAGCGCGACATGTCTACGTGCCACAGAATGCCTTTTCCTACCCCACGTCAGCGGGTACGGTGCAGGGAGCGATTTTTTTCCTAACCTCGCCATGCTTACCAAGTCAGCGTTCTCGTGTCACTTGCTTAGATGCTGCTAAGCAATCTGTTGGCAATGGGAATAATGCCGGCTTGAGCTGTAGTACTAAGGTTTGATACGGACACACTTACTCTCTGAAGCCAAGTCTAGACCCTTACTTGGCTCCTGATACCCTCAATCGTGTAACGACTTGTCTTTTTATGATACTGAGGGGTTGTGGGCGTTTGGGTATTCTTTACTTTCGGCCCAGCACATGCTGAACCCAAAGCATTGTATATAAGAGTAATAATCCTGAAACCGCAATTATACTCTATAGTAGAACGGCCGAGTAAGATGAAGCTTCGCGCCAAGATGGCACAGAACTGTACACACGCTTGAGTTGCTTCGCGAGCCATCTCATCAGACACAAGAAGCACACGATTAGTGAACATGGTGAATGTTTGCTGCGGCGGTAGGAGCTCGCATGGCTGACAAAGTGTCGAGGCTAGTTGGTAGACTGCTACAACTACAAAAAGGAGCAGCGAGGCGTGAGGTGTGGTTCTCCAAGGCCAACGACGGTGCTCATGTAGAAGTTGACAATCAGGGTATCTCGTGATGTAACCAAGTGCGAATGCGCCCGGCAAGACAAGGTAGTCGACAACGACTGCCATCAAAGTCCTGCAATGTTGTGCCCGAATATCACCGTATCAACGTCGCCCTGGGTCGACCGATCGGTGGGTCTATGCATGGCATGTGCCATCGGGCAAAGCAACCAGATGGACATGAGACCGTTCAAGCACCCCCACCACCACCACCGCCACCACCGCCTCTGCCACGACCGCGTCCTCTGCCCCTCGTCCCCCTACCTCCCCCGCCACGATCGCCGCGGTGGTCTCCTCGCCCGTGCATGCCACCTCCTCGTCCGCCCCGGTTCGCTTGGTCCTTGGCCTGTTGTTCTTTTACAATATCGACAATCTCGTCGGGTACTCGTAGGTATTTGATCTTGGCCCACGTTAGTCTCGCGCTGGCTTCGAAGGGGGGGTGTAGACATGCTGTGCTGCCGCGGACATAGATCTCTGGTAGCCTCATGAACTTGTCGCCATCTGCGCTTGTTTGTACAACCTCGCGAAGGGTAAGGTTCATCCAGGTGTCGCAGTTGACCAGGAGCCCATTGAGTGTCTCGCCGCTCTTGAGCTCAACGAGCATTGGGTGGCCGGTCGCGGCCGTAAGAAGGCCCAAGGGAAGCTGGCATGCGAGTCAGCCAAGTTGCGGGAGAAGGTAGCGCGACTCTGGGAGGGACATACCATGGCGCTGGCCGATTCAATTGATGTATACGCGTTGTCAAAGTGGGAGCAGGCGGCGAATATCACGACTCTCGACTGACTGCACGATGATGCTGGCCCGAGCGTGGGTCGGGGGCTTGGCGGAACAGCCACAAGCACGTGACGCGCTGGACGCCTCAAGCCGTGGCTGAATCGCAAGCAGTCGTCTCAGACGTCTAAGCCACGCCAGTGCTGACGGTAGCGACTGGTGCCTGATTCTCTGGACACACTGTCCCATCGTCCGGGCCTCGCTCTTTAGTTCTCCTGCCCCCTTCTCTGGCCGTGGTTGTCTCGGCCGTCCGATCGTGATGCCTTGGTTCAGGTCAAAGGTGCTTACAGCGTGTGCGTGGGCGGCTCCTGTGCTCGCCGTCGTCCTGCCCCACCACTCCCACGGTCGAGCTGCTCGAGCAGAGGACCTTCTGCATCTCGGTATGCCCCTCTCTTATACTACGACAGCCATAGCCATCCGCCTTTTGCCATGTCTAGGCAGCTGCTGACCAGGTGTTACCACTTGCAGACGTGCAGTACAATTACGCGCAAGCAACCTTCAGCGTCCCATGCATTGGCTGTCTTGGCCCGGCTCACACGGACCAGAATGACGAGTCTCTAGTAAGGTCCACTTCAGGCAACTAGACACCACCGTCCCACCTGCTGACCCGCGCCCCAGATCCTGAGCTTCACCAGCCATGCCCAAGATGACGCCTGCGGCTCTTCCAACGTTACCCTGAACGGAGTACATCTTCCCCAGGAGTGGTCCGGAGACTTTGCCTCCGGCTCGGGCTCCTACCAGGCTCTCACCCACCTCACACAGAATGAACGCTTTTTGCAGCGCAACTTGGACCTCGAATGGAAGACGGCCTGTCTCCACGGCCACAGAGAAACAGAAGCTGCGCAAGTCCTGACAGTTAACATCAAGGCCATTGACGGCAAACCCCTTGACGCTCCCTCTGGTTTTACCATTTCCTTCAAGCAGCACACCTCACCCCCGTTGCTGCTCAGGCTCGAGTCTGCACCAGACCCTTCTGCCAGCAATACAGACGTTGCTGAATCTTGGCGCGAACCGCCCCAGGCCTTGCGTCTTATCGTTTCTGACAACGTCGAGGGCTCACCTCCCGCTACTGGAGCTCAGTCCCTAGAAGACGAGATTCGCAAACTAAAAGCGCTTGAAAGTGAACTTGAAGTACTCCAATCACTCATCGCCCAACAGAAGAAGCTTATTCATTCGCGGTTGAGAAAAGAAGCGCAGGACGTCTCACAAGAATTGAGTAACTGTGACGGCCTTTCTTGCATCTTCAAGACTGTTGCCCACAAGGCCATCGACGCGTGGAGAGTAGCATATATCCGCTACAATCCTGGCCAAAAGCCAATAACCATGGGCCGTCCAGAGCATATCTTCCCCCAGGCACATGGTCATGTCGCACAAGTGGCACAGGTTTCCGATGATAGTGTGAGGGTCAGCACACCGACCCCTCAACCATACAAAGTGGAAGCAGTATGTTGATCATTTCCTTGTCTTCGTCCAAGATCCAAATTGACACGTGCTAGGTTGAACTTCCACCAAGACCTACCAAAGAATCATCCTTCGTTTTGGCCATTGAGATCACCTTTGGCATCCTTTGTTGCGGCTGTCTTTTCACCGCAATCCGCCACAGGTGTAGCAGCCTTCGAACACGTACTGAGCGTGCTGCTGCCCGGGAAGAACGCATCAATGCTCGTGCCTATCGCCGAGCAGCGCGCCAACATGCATGGAGCAAGTGGTGGCGCGGTAACTGGGCACGGAGGGATAGTGAGCGCATTGCTGACTATGAGGAGAAAAGGGCCCTCATCTCCGAGCAGGAAAACGTGCTTGAAGATGCGATGCAAGAAGAGATCAGACAATTGAGGGCAGCACATGATGTTGTCAATGATCTTGTGAGAGACGCCGAAGAAGGCAGAAGTGTCAATCACCCTCCTTTCACTTACCAACGGGAACAAACTCACGCGCCCTTCTCCCCACTATCAACAGCATCTACATATCCCCCCACATCGCTTCCTGAGATACCTTCGCGACCACTGTCGCGGACCGAGAGTCTGCCAAGTTATCGTTCAGACACGCCCACGGAGCCACCTGGCTATGATTCTGACCGAGACATGTCTGACGTTGTCGCTAATGGCTTTCATCAGTATGCCGCCGCATCCACAACATCCGAAGTGAGCTCCCACTGGACACCCGAGAGTAGTGTTGTCGACGTGAGTCCTAGGCCTAGTGCAGAGACTCTTAGGTACCCTGTGAGCATCTATACTCTTGATGAGGATGAGGAAGAGTCAGACGATGACTGAAGACTTTGCGGTTTGGGGCCCGCAATGGCACCCTCAACGCGTCTTTAGCTATTCATCCTAGTTCCTACATCCCGGTCTTGACGCTTCATATCCATACACTCTGTTGTCTACATACAATTAGAGCTGCATACCTTGCAATTCGAGCAGCCAGCACAAAGGGATTCTGCATGGATCCTGATCCTTGAAATCATATTCTGCTTTGCAGATATGGCGCCGAAAGGCACACTTGACACTGTCACTTCCAAGGCCTAGCAACCAGGAGGAGAGGATATTCTCCCATGACAGCCTCAAGGGATAGTCCGAGGACGCTATCCACTAATATTACTACTGCCCTCGTGTATTATAGCGTTGGAGTTTTGTTGTTTCTGTCAGAGGACTGCAGCAACCTTTTTTTCCCTCTTTTCGAGCGTACTGCCGAGCCGCATTTTTTTTTTGTTTGGGTGCACATTTCAACGAGGGAAGATCTCTGTTGCATATATACAACAGGCCCGTCATATATATAGTCAAATATTCTTGTTGTTGTTCAAGACAATGTTATACAATGCAATTGACACCGCTGGTAGCGGATTTATCTACAGTTATACAGACGCCCTCTCACAATCCATGATTTGCTTTAGCGATTGCGCAGGTACCAGTTGAATGCCAACTGGCCTGTCTCGATATGGAACGGTGTCGGGACCTCTGCCAGTCCAGGTCTCGCGACAGGATGCCTCAGGTACACAGCTGCGCAAATGTTTTGATTGACTTCAAGGTAGCGGGGGATAAATGCAAAAGCGCTCATATAATCCCTTGGCCGCCAGGGTGTCGCATACGGTGCCTGGGCATCTCGCTTATTCCACGCTGAAGTATGTTCAGTTTCCAGCCTCAGTTTCTCAAATGCAGATCGCAGACGCGCTTGGTCTTCCTCAGAGATGAGGGGTTCTGCGGCCGATGCGGAGTCCTTGGATGACGACATCGAAGACATGGCCGCGTTGCGTTCAGCAATTTGCGTCTTGAGGAAGTCGAATTGGGCGTCTAGAGTTGAGATTGTTTCTGGGTTTGCGGAGCGCCATAGGCTAATGGCTTTTCGTATACTTGAGCGGAGGGCACGGAATTTTTGCTTGTCTTTTGCTTTGACGTCTTCGGCGAGGACGCCGTCGACTTGCTCCATCAGGTCTTGCAGCTGCTTTTTGAGTTCCGTGGGTGTGGGTTCTTCGCGCGAAGATTGCGAGATGACCAGGTCGGTGTCGTTTGATTGCTTGGGGGCTTGACCGCCGCTCTGCTCACGTTCTTGGGCGCGGGCGGCGGCTTTCTCTTTGGTCACGCGGCGGGCGGTCGATGAGCGGGTCTTGGGCGCTCCGGTTGCAAACATGACGGATGAGGGCTCGACTTGGAACATGTCACCTGGGTTGAGTGCGTAGCCTGGGTATACCATCTGGAGATTGAAGTCAGCCCGGGTGGGGTGCTTGGTCATTCAGACACTGTCAGACGCACCTTCTTGCCATTGACCTTGACCAGGCCATGGACGACAAATTGCCTGGCTTGCCGCACACTGCTTGCGAATAGAGCCCTGAAAATGGCAGTATCTAGTCGCCGCTCCAGCGGATAGTAGGCCATTTGCATGTATGGCGTCATCGGGGGAGTCTTCGTTTTGTCATTGACATCAGCGCCCATGCCTCGTCCCGCCGCCTGCTCAGAGCCATCGTGGCGAGCGAGATATTGGTGGTCCATGGGCACTACGGCGGGGAGATTTCGCTTGAACATGTGCTTCCATTTCTTCTCTCGTATATGCTCGCCGTGGTACGCTCGTGTCGACGCCTTTGCCGTCCATTTTTGCTGGAAATATGTGCGTGTCGTAACATTGGGTGCCTTGAGCTGAGAAAGGGCGTATAGAGACCAGCGCGACCAATTCTGGCGAACATTCTGCAGTGGGTTAGCGACCGGAACGCCCTATTGACTGCAGGCAACGGGATGCATACGAGCTTCTTGAGTGAATGGAACCTCGGCTTCTTGCGCGGCATGGTGACGGCGGGGGTGAGTCAATTGGAGCGGCGTATTGTCGCTGCTCCCAAAGGGCGTACGTCGACTGGTATTATTAGCGGGCGTGCAACAATTCCGCAGTGAGTGAGACTTGGCGCCCATGGACCCTGGTAGTACTAATGAAATTTCCCCACTAGCAGAACCATAGCTCTTCGCCCATCTTCTGCCTTTTCTCTTCACCCACTCTCCATTTTGCTTATACAAACACAAAAATTACTTCAGCAGCTCCCCAGTGCCTACGCGACTCACGCTGCAACCGTTTTGAAAATGGCCGACACCGAAGTCGCTGCTGCGGCGGCCTCCAACCCCGCCGAAGCCTCACAGGCTGAGAAGGCGCTCCAGGTCGAGTCTGACTCCAAGACCGAGACCAAGCCTGACACCAACGCCGCTGAAGGCGAGGAGAAATGGGAGCTTAACGGAAAGTCGGGCGAAAAGAGCGCCCACCACAACGACCGCGAAGATCGCAACGGTCGCAACAGTCGCGACAACCGTGGTGGACGAGGCGGCCGCGGTGGCAGCAAAGGCAATAGTCGCAACAAGAAGTACGCCCAGAGCCCCGTTTTCCATGATGCTTGCAGTAGCTGACTCTTACAGGCAAAACCAAGAATTTGACAACCTCCCAGAGTCCGACGATCCAGCTGAGATCCGCGCTCAAGTATGACTCCCTTCTTTCCACCTTTGGCCTCGCTTACTAACCGCGCCCAGATCGAGTTCTACTTCTCTGCACAGAACCTGGCGACCGATGAGCATATGTTCAAGGAGCTTGAGGGCCCCAAGAACAAGCCTGTCTCGATTCACCACATTTGCACCTTCAAGCGCATGCGCCGCTTCAAGCCCTATTCCGCTGTCGTAGAAGCCCTTCGTCACAGCAGCGATCTTGTTGTCGTTGATGATGGCGAGTACAGCAAGCCTGGCAGCGAGGCCGTCAAGCGCAAAGAGCCACTAGCCGTCCCAGCTAAGGAAGGCGACGACGAGAAACCCCCCACCACAGAAGAGCTCTTCTACCGCCTAAGGAGCAGTTCATCCAACTCCATGGAGACAAGCGCCTACGTCAAGGGATTCGGTGATGCCGAGGAAGCTGGCCAGATTGCGCTCGAGCAGTTCTTCCGCCCATTCGGCTCAGTCATGGTCCGCAAGCGCCGCGACGACGAGGGTGTCTGGAAGGGTAGTGTCTTTGTCGAGTTCGATTCCAAGGACTCTCAACAGCAGTTCCTCGCTCTCGACCCCAAGCCCAAGTTTAATGGCAACGAGCTCACCACTATGGGCAAGAAGGAGTACATCATGATGAAGTGCGAGGAGAAGGGAATCAAGCCAGATTGGGAACTCACCGAAAAGGAAAAGTATGAGAAGCGCAAGAAGCAGCGCGAGGCCAACGGTAATTTCAGCAGCAGCCGAGGCAACGACCGTCGTGGCGGAGGCCGTGGTCGCGGATCCAACCGTGGAGGACGTGGTGGCCGAGGTGGCAGTGACCGTCGCGACAACCGCCGCGATCGTTCTCCTCGCAGGCGTCGTGACCGCAGCGCTTCCAACGACTCTGTCGACAGTGACGACTGGAACAAGCGTCGTGATCGCTTCAAGAACGGCAAGGACGACCGTGCCAACTCCAAGGAAGAGAAGAAGGAGATTGAGCGTGATGCTCACGGCGTCCCCGTTGTCAAGGACTCCCGCACTGAGGCCGAAATTGCCGCTGCTTCCAACAAGCGCAAGGCTGAGGATGACCAGAGTGGTAGTCCTAAGAAGACCAAGCTTGAAATCAAGCAGGATGAGTAAGACACATGTCTTGATGCGATTTCGATGACTGGTCAATCTTTGTTTATTGCACCGTCTTACCTGGCCTTCCATTGCATACAGCGGCGTTTGCGGACGTTTTTCTTTATTACTACATATATGAATTCATCTCTAAGGTACTCTCTTTGTCAAAGGACGAACAAATCCGGAGTTTATGCCAAAAGCGTAGTCTAGCTTACAGATATGCTAGTATTTGAATCTATCTATCTACTCTGTACACTGTAGCTGCCAATACTGGGCTTACCGCCAAAACATTGACTACGTATGATATTAGTGACCGGGACTTGGGAGGCTAGAAACACGATTGCGGCATTTCGATCTCCCTTGATTTTTTTATGGCTTAAACTGAAGTTTTGCAGGGCCGTGCACGCTCTGGTTGGCACCAACGGTGAGACAGGTGTATAGGTAGGGAAAGACAAAATCGCACTCGTCTTGTTAGGACTGTTCATTACTCGTTGGTTGGGGATTGTATTTGTCGCGAGCGATAGTATGCTATACCTTCTACCTTTTGCTTTTCGACATGGATGATGTCAACTACAAGCCTCTGACAGAGAAGCTTGTGGCGTCCCGGTGCCACTCTACGCTGATCAACAATGCCTGCGACTGGGATCCACTGTTATCGACCCCCAACAAGCAGGTGCTTGTCTGCCAAGCCAGCCGATGGAGCGCAACTAACCTCAAGAGGCAGCCGGATATACCGACGAACCGTATATCGATCATTCTTGCCTTGAATACGCGGCTATCAGCGTGATATGATGCGGGTTTTTATTGCGATGGGTCGGTTATAGACAAAGTATGCATGTCCAGATGCTGCTATGATGGTACAAAAGCCTCCCATCGCCTACTCTTTGGAAAGCTTTGCGTCTTGCTTACTTTCCTCCTTGTTTAGACCAAAAGCCTTCTTGACCTCAAACGGGGTCACCGGAAGCTCAATGGTAGACAAGAAGCAGTCACCAGGTGCCGCCATGGTGGTACTTGGGAGTGCAATGCTCAGGCTTGCCTCTGCTGCCGTGCTTCCTCGCCAAAGCCCATCTTCGGATCCGTTTACGCCCATTGATCCTCAGAATTGGGTAAATCCGGATAATATGACTTGGGATGGTAGGCAAACCATCCTTATTCATGGAGTAGTGTCCCATTTGCTAAGCATACAACAGACTATGTTGCACCACCGACAACCAACTGGGCCGACCCATCGCGCAAGGGCAGAGACAGGAACTTCAACATCGCCATGATAACAGTCGACTATCCGGATTCGCCTTTTGTGGTTACTCTCCCAGCCAACTCCGATATCTTTGGTAACCCGCAACCGCTTGCTGCTGGCTTGAGTCGTGACGATGTACCCAAATTCTACCATGATCTTCTCAACGTTCCGAGTGAGATTAACCAGGGTCATACGCTGCACGAGTACTGGATGGGCGACTCGTTTGGAAAATATGGAGTCGACCTGACCGTATTCGGCCCGTATCGCATGCCCTCACGTAGCTACCAGTACGGAATCGATGATGAGGAAGGCGGCTTCAATGAAGGTGCTTGTCCAGAAGGCCCTCCGTGTTCAGTCGACCTGCGCACTGATGCTCTTGGAGCATGGCGAGCGGAAGTTGGCAATGAAACCGCAGACGCATTCGAATTGGCGTTCATTCTCTCCGCGGGCCAGGATGAGTCCTCGACATGGCAGGAATTTGGCGAAATGAAGTTCCTCAGCAAAGAAGATGTCCCCGCCGAGTTTGGGCCCCCGGGCAACTCTTCACTCCCCAACTGGGCAAGTACTCGCTACGTTGAGTGGTCTTCGTGGGCTGCAGCCTCCACGATCTGGCCAAATGCAGGTGGTGGCTCCTCCACACAGGGAGAGTCGAGTGGCATGGCTACGTTTGCTCACGAGTTGTCGCATCTGCTTGGTATTGGTGACAACTACAACAACCCATTCAGTAACCCCGCTAGACGTACCTATACTGGCCCTTGGAGTATGTTGTCTCGTGGTAGTTTCAACGGCCCTGGAGGTCCACACACACGTTGGCAAATCCCACCTGTTCAAGGTGCTTCCATGGGCTCTCTACACACGATGCGCGACAAGCATCAGATTGGCCTCATCGACACGACTCCCATCTTGCAAATATCCCGGTCTGGTCTTGCTGCTTCTGGTCCAGTTATCGCTCAGCTCACAGCTCGATCAGTCGATCCAGTCGGCAGCCTCATGGGTTTTAACGTCACCTTTGATTCCGCAGGCGACCTCGCGCCACCATGCAACGTCACTGTTGACCCGCTCTGCGACGGCCGCCGCTACAACAACTACAACGTCGAGGTCGTTGACCGCATGGGTGCTGATTCCTTCTGCCCCGATTCCGGTGTAATGATTAGCAAAACTAAGAACAGCGACCGCGTGCAACCCTTCCAGTGGGTCATCGACGCAAACCCTCAAGATGCTCGCCAGATTGATTTCTACCTTCCAAACGGCACAGCTCGGTACTGGACCATCGGCGACTACAGACAGCTCGTCGACGCTCTGTTCCACGCTGGCACAAATTCTGGCTCCGAGTACGAATACATTGACGAGCCCAACGGCCTGCACTTCTACATCCTCGAGAAGCTACGTGATGAGGCTGGTGTCTTGCATTATACCGTTGGTGTAGCATCCACCGCCACCGCCAACGCCACCACATCCACCAAACACGGCATCGAGCTCGGATCTGGCAAGGTAGCGCAAGACGGCCCATCCCTGAGTGATGAAAATGCCACGTATTGCACCTTCGAACTGAAGAACACGGGAAAAGCCGCTAAGCTCAGCACTAATCCTCACCCCCAAGATCTCTCTGCTTACCTTGGCTCTGATATCTACCGCCTGGAAGCCAAGGTCGAAGGCGAGGGCTGGAAGGTCGCGTTGCCGAATGCGCTTGTTTATGCGGGCGCTGGAAAACAGAAGACGGTTAAGGTGGCGGTTGGAAGAGAGAGCAGGGCATCGACAGAGGCGACTGTTACGTTGACGGCGACGAGTGAGAGTGATAAGGGGGTTTCGAGGAGTAAGACTTGTAAACTCCGGGTGTAAATTCATGTATAGCATCTACTGAATGACATACCTTATTCATGACAAATGCTACGTTACGAGCCCTTTTAATGGGTGATTTGCTTCAAAAGGTGTATTGTCAAATTGTATATGATTTCACGCCAACTGAGCAGACCAGAGCTATTGTCAATTGTAAACATTCAATTGAAAATCGCGGCCAAGAGTACCAAGTCGCGACTTGAAGAATAAATAAATTACGTAGAACTTTAGGTACATTGATCCCTGACTACTATCAGGTTTTCAGCTCCGGCAAAAACGACACGCCAGACTCTGCTCCATAGAGCTAGACGGGTACTCATTTAACACCAAGCTACCCGACGATATAAATATCAAGCTCAGCCCTAACGGTAGTACGGCCATCGAGAACCATAATCAGGAGCTCTAGCGCAATCTCCTCAGGAATATCAACAATGGTGTAGATAGCTCCAGCAATGAACACACCGTCAATATGATGCTGACCAGTGCAGGGGGGCGCATCCGTCTTCTGCACATCATGCGAATCATCGGTGCTGTTGTCGCGGTAGTAGCTGTAACCGTGGTCGTTTACGTTGTCAGGAGTGCTAAGACACAGCGTGTTCCCCTTGACGACCTCGCTGTCGCGGACAGTGCCGCACTGAAGGGGCCCATCCGCGTTGCTCCCCGGGCCTTCGTTCCATGCGGCGAAGGTGGGGTCTGTGTACCCGATTTCGTTGCGGACAAGGCGGCCAGACTTGACGAGCGTGAGTTTGTCGGCGATGGCTTGGCTGATGTTGAGGCCAGCGCGTGTGATGGATACGGCACACGTGTTGGGCTGGAAGTCGCGGAAGACGAAGGCGGAGCCGGTACAGCCTTGATGCTGGAAGGTGTACAGGGTGTTGTTTTGGTACTTGACAGGCTCTGCAGAGGGATATGTAGGTGAGGCTACGGCAGTGCTGGCCAGGGCACCGAGGGCCAGGATGTAGGACAGAATGGGAGCCATTTTTGGTGCCGAGTGGTGATGTGTATCAGTGGTAGTGAGGAAGAGAGTGTGGTGATGCTATTCAACCTGGGAACTACAACTGTATTTATATACAGAGTGATAGGCTCATTTCGTGTTACTTGCAAGTATGGAAAGATTTTGTTTGCTCACACTTCGGAGTAAGCGCCGGCTTATGAGCTGCGTGTGTAATAGCATAGGTTCAAGGTTCTTGACGTCGGTAATTTTCTACATGAGATATGTAGATCTGATGAAGCTACTGCTACTGTTAGTTGTGATCGAGTTTTAGCAGGAACTACGTTGTTATTCACTATACATTCATCCTGTCTCTTATGAAATGTGGCGAAGAAAAAATCATCTAAAAATAGTGTATGGATATTTAGATCCTGATTTTACGATGCCGAATCTTAGTGAAAGAGACTTTGGGAATCGGATGCCTCGGGAATGGTCCATAAGAAACAAGCAGGGTTTTGCAGCATCAGTGTTCCGCTGATTTGATGGTACCTCTTGATGAGAATGGTGATCATCAGTAAGTAAGTATGTAAGCTGACAAGGAGTACGTATGTATGATCTACGCAACATAGTTTATAGCAACCTCTTAGCAATCCTCAGGCCATGCTTGCAAGCATCCTCAGTGTCAAAACTCTGCTTTGGAATTTTTGGTATCCACTCTTGCTAGGTTTCTTTTGTCCTCTCGCATGGAATGTGGACTACTGTCCGAGTTTGTAGTTTCGATTACCTCATTTAGTTACAAAAATCTCATCCGCTGTGCTTTGGTCAGCTTCCCGACGGCTGGTTTAAGGTTGAAAAGCCAAGCTGCATCGGCCCTTTTATAGTTCCAATCTTACGGTAGATTTGCGGTGCAGTACCTGATCAGGGTCACGGTGAGTGCGGAGAAATCTACAAACTATGATGATTTGCTTCCTTGCTTCCTCGCAGCAACTTCTGTTGAGTCTATAAATAGTGTGTTAATCTAAATAGTATGTTAATTTTAAACAAAGTTTAGAGATATTGCTCCAAGTCTCTCCAGCGAAGTCGAATTTCTGCCGCGCTATCTTTACAGGATGGATGTCAGGACATGTGTATGTCCAGCCACATCCGGGGCTATCGCTGCCACCGTATGCGCTAACCTTATATATAAGTATTGGTCCATGATCCTGGGGTAGATCTTATTAACGCAGAGTATCCAATAATATATGTACTATGCACGTTTTCAACGTTCGCCAGCGTAAGGGATGCTCACGGACATCAAAACAGATGAGCTGAACTGCCAGAAGAAGCTTGCATGCGCCTCGGGACTTCGGCTAGTCTTGTCGCGAAAGATGCCAACATGGAGATAAAAATCATCTTCAGTAACGTCAGCGGCTGGCAGGGGTGCGCCGAACCTCCGGCACCCGTCGGTGCTTTTTTGGATGCCAGCAGGTAACTATTCAGCGGTATCCTTACATACTAAGCATTCTTCTCTCCACTCGATGGGCCAGAAAAAGGCTCATGACATAAAGAATGTGCACGGTTTTGAAACCTTAATCGAAGGTAACAAACGGTGAAGAGCCTTTTAACCTCATGGATGTTCCGGCGTCAGTTTAGCCTTCCTGTGTGCATAAGAGTATTACATGTATCATTACGACATAATATTGTGCCAAACTCGACTATGAACTCTTACGTCGAGAGCAAGTGACTGTCGCGCATTCTTGGCACATACACAGATCTATCATTTCTGAGCCATGTACAAGAAGACATCTGGCTATGTATTCGATGTGGCCTCATTTTGACAATGTGTTCGCGCGGTGAACGGACCGATGTAGGCGGGGGTCGATGTTGCCAAGACCAGCACTCTACTACTGATGGTGTCTCTCTTTGTACATACTACGCACCAACCACATTTACACCTCAGCTTCAAAAGCAGATCATACCGCAATGGGTGTGGTTCTCTCAACCCTCCAGGGTTTAACCAAAATCTGTGTTACAACAGCTTCTCTCCTGAAAGCTCTGTCGACCGAATTCAACCAAGCTTTGAAGCGTGCATCGCAATCTCCGGGTCTTCCTAGCCCCAACCCAACCCAAACCTACTGGCTCAATGATCCTCCATATCCTGAACTTGTTAATGCAAGCTCACCCAGCTTACCACAAACCACAGATGTGGCAATCATCGGTTCTGGAATCGCAGGAGCATCCGTAGCACGATCATTACTCCACGAGCGACGCCGTAGCAAGACCAATCCAGATGAAAAGGTAGTTGTTCTCGAGGCTCGACAGTTATGCAGCGGTGCTACTGCTCGGAATGGTGGCCATATCAAACCTTCACCGTACGAATGCTTTTCTCTGCACAGCAAACTATTTTCAAAAGACCGTGCCACCGCCTTAGTGCGCTTTCAATCTCTGCATATCGATTATTTGACTGGATTATGCGAAATCGAAGGTATTGAGGCTGCTCAGGCTCGAAAGGTTGAAACAGTCGACTTCTTTCTGGATAACAAAAGCTTCTCCAAGGCCGTCGCTGATTCTCATGCGTTGAAGCAATGGCTACCCGAAATTGATATTGTCATATGGAACGGGGACGAAGCTCAGAAGGTTTGCCGATTTTTAATGGAGCAAAAGGAGACCATGAGCTGACATTAATAGAGATTTGGCATCAACGAAAGCGTCGTCGGTGCTTTATCCTACAAAGCAGGTGCTATCTGGCCTTACCGGTTTGTTACGTCCATCTGGAATAGTCTACTGAACGAGTTCCCTCATCTGTCTGTGGAGACAGATACTCCTGTAGAATCCATAAGCGTTCCGGAAGATGCTCCAGCAGGCTTCCCATATGCTTTGAAAACTCCACGAGGAACTATTTTTGCCAGGAAAGTAGTCCACACTACCAACGCATTCGCAAGTCATCTTGTTCCTGGATTGCGGAGTAGGATTGTAGGAGCAAGAGCTCACATGTCCGCCCAGACCCCAGGACAACGATTCCCACATGCTGACGGTACAAAATCCTGGGGTGTAATATACGACGATGCATTTGACTACATCACTCAGATACCGCCAGCTTCGGGTGAAGATAAAGGGGACCTGATGATTGGAGGTGGTTTCAAGCGATCTTTGAAGCAAGGTATTGATCAAGTCGGTCTCTACGACGACGGTTCCGTGCTTGACCCTTTGACGATCACGCACATTGCAGGTATATTCCCAGCGATATTTCATCCAAAGTGGGGTGCGGGGAGCGAGCTGAAGCAGATGTGGCCTGGTATCATCGGTCTAACTGGCGATTCTCTCCCCTTTGTGGGTCGATTAAACGCAAAGTTGACGGGGCGCGACATTAAGAAGCGAAAGGGAAGGTCAGATGGCGATGCCCATTGCGGAGAGTGGATCGCAGCGGGATTTTGTGGAGAAGGCATGGTGTGGGCCTGGCTTTCTGGAGCTGCTCTTGGTATAATGATTGCTGGAACTGAAGAGGACGACTTACCTGAAGATCCGGGAAGGCCGGGTGGAAAATTAGCAGAATGGTTCCCGCACGAGCTTTTGATTTCCGATCAAAGGCTACGTAGTGCTAACATCAGCAACTTGGTAGATTAGTTGCTATCTCCATTCATGCGTGGTATGGAGCTGTTGCTTACTATTCGCGTAGAGGTGGTGCATCCCTGTTATTGTGTTACTACGTACGTACAGCCGCTTGTTGCCTTGGCTCAGCTGGAATCATTACTTCTACAGCCTTGCAAAATCCATGATACGAGGTCATCCATCGTTCTTCTAGCAGGTGATTCTACGATTTCGCGTTTTTCGCTTTGAGTTCGAAGGACCGCTACGGAGTCGCGCGAAATGGCTGATAATAAGAAGACCGACCACGGACGTGAGAAGGCTATTCAATAATAATGCCTGTCGGATAAAGGCTCACTCGATTCATTGAATCAGGCCGTAAGACGAAGGAGCAGTATGACAAACAAGCGGAGGAGTTGAGTGATAATGTCCTGAAACAGTTGAAGAATGGGTGAGCTCTACACTAAAAAAAAAAGGCTACCGGCTTCAAGAAGCGCACGAGCGGTAATAAGACGGGGAAACTGAAAGGCAATGTAAAGATCGTCCTCGTGATCGGTATTGCCGATGCTGGGAAGATTAGCATGTTGAAATTGATGACGGGTCAGGATCTCCGGTTGGGACATAAGCTGGACGACGGTAGTACCCCAAATATTGTGCTTATATTGTCCGACCTGCTCGACGCTAACTCGCCCTCGTCCAAGGAACTCCCATTCTTACATGCATCCCCGTCGAGGTCGATGGCGAGCGCTACATCTTTATCGACAGCCCCGGTTTCGGGTATGGGGCAGTTCAACCGGGAGTGATCAAGAAGCAAATTCAGCATATGCTCGGCTTCCTCCCACGAACACTTGGTGGTATTCATGCCATCTTATACGTGCAGGACATCACGGTTGAGAGGAATACAGTTGGCATGGGCGAAGCTATCGGCTTTCTTGATGAGCTTGCTGGTAGAGAGATTGGACCGCACATTACTTTCATAACCACCAAGTGGGATATACCGCAGTCAGCCGCAAAGCTGATGCACAAGTGAACGAGCCGGGAGGCCGAACTCAAAAATGTTACATGGGCTAAATTCGAGATATTTCCGCCACAGGGTTGACTATAGGTGGGATAGCCAATAGGAGCAGAACCATGGCCGGGATCTGCTATGGTCCAATGTGATGAAGCATTACAGAAATGCCAGCGCCAATTTATTGGTCATGCCGTTCTCGGAGTGGACGTACCTCGATCGAGTAGTCAAAATAGCCACCGTGGCGGGCGAAATAATCGTGCTGGGTACTGTGACAGCTTTTGTGGCGTTCGTTGTAGTTTTGGCTTTTGTTTCAGCTCCGGCAGTAACAGTAGGAATCTCCTTCAGCATAATCATTTGAGTCATATTGTCACTCTTATTCAGAGTACGACACTATGGGATGAGTTTTTTGTGTTAAATGTTGAAGGTAAAGGAAAGGCTTTGGGTGGCTGGGCCCAGCCACCGAACATTTCAC